GATGCATTGGCGAGTTCTTTGTTTTTCAAACAACGCCACAATCTTTCAATTTTTTTTTGCGTATGGACATTCGTAAACGGATCGACGAAATTTTCTGCGTGTTTAATAGCGACTCCTTCTAAATCATCGATATGACTATATCCTTTCCACTTGTCTGTGTGCACACAATGCTTGCTGAATTTACTAATAACTCAGTTAAGACTAATTTCTGGACTGTTATTTACTTAACATACAAACATGAATTATCATCTCGACAACCTTTCAAAATCCTCCCTTTTTCGTTTTTCTTTTTACTCACAATAGTTTCATCGATCTCGACAATCTTTCGGAATCCACCAATTTTTATTTGGAATAAATTATACAAGGAAATTATCACAACGTATCTTACGAAGTTTGTCCACTCGACAGCTGTATGATAACTCACGTCCACAGCCGAATAAGTCGAGCTCAACGTAGTACGCTCTATGCAATTAGTTATGTCATACGAAGGAGAAAATAGTTCCCATGAAATTTTCCCGAATTTATCTTTAACACCTTCAATTTTAATTACACAAATATACTTTAACTTCCTCCCGGCCGTTGACTCGAACGACTTTTGGAGCTGCAGTTACGAGTTGTGGGGGAACATATTTGAAATTCGAATGAATCGCGTTGGCGTCGTCTTCAATTTAAAATACAAAACTTTAATTTTTTTACTATTATTTTCGAAAACAAAATGTTTGAGAGTAAAACTTGGAATGATATTTTACTCGAATACGGATTACGACGAATAAAATCGTAATAAAAATTTACTATAAATAAGTGCTTTCGAATGTAATACTGGACTGGTTCGTCTCGTTAATTTGTCTACGTGCCAAGATGGAGTTTTTCCACTCCGATGTCGTCCGAGTTTCTTGCCTGGGTCTAAAATGTTCCGATCGTATAATTAATGTTTCGAATTTTTTAAATATTATTTTACCAATATTAGTCTATTGTGACTAATCAAAGTAGAAAATGTTCTTTACGAACAGAACATATCGACCCTAAAGCAGGCAAACAGAAGGTCAGCCGCATTTGAAAAAATCCGCAAAATACAGGAGAAAAATGAAATGGATTTTTAAAAAGCAGAGACCGGTCAAGGAAAATATAATCCATTTATTTAATTAATTAATCAAATTTTGAATTTTCGCGCAGCTGAAATTCTGAGAGAATTGAAGACGGAAACACGGGCATATAACCAGTGGCGTACCGTGGGTGTCAGCCACCCGGGGCGGAGGAAAATTTCGGCCTCCCCTTATTTAGGTATTTCAATTTAAAAGACCAAAATTCAGTTTCATCACAGAACAAGCAATGAAAAAATTCGGTGGTAGTGCAGCGACCTGTTTAAAATAGTTCCATTGGATATTAGTGGTGTATATGAACGCAAATGAATCGTACAAGCAGAGAAAGAAAAAGAAAGGTCAACAAGTTTCGCAGGATTTCCTCGGATGAAAAAGTTACTAGTTCACCCGGACGGCGAGCCGATTCCCGGACTGTCCGGACGATAGCACTATCGTAGGCGCGATGCAAGTATAGATTAGGATGTTTCAAATTTTTACAAGATATTATTATTTATTGTGAAATTTTGCCGCCCCCTAAAAAGTGCCGCCCGGGGCGGGCCGCCCCTGCCGCCCCCACTACGGTACGCCACTGCATATAACTGTAAGATATGAACGATGAATAAGGGATTTCCCCAGCCCGGAATCGTATACTCCCTGTGCTTGTAAAAATGTCGACGGAACCGTACCTGTACACTACATGCCACCCTTCGCCAGATATTCGCCTTCAAAGGTTCCACGACGTCGTTTCCGATTATCTGACCCCATACTCTCAAAGAAATCTATATTTTTACGGGCTCGGTCTCTGGGTGTGGGAAAAGGCTTTAAATTCAAAAAACCGTACGCGCTTGGTTTTTTAATTTTTCGCATTCGCGCCACCGTCGGCATTTCCTCTTTCAACATCACCACTATGTCCTTTCTCTTCCTTTTGCCTCTTTTAGAGTCGCCATCTATCGCATGTAATTATAAATTTTTATTATATTATATCAATTTGACTGAGTCGGGATTAGACTCCGGGTCTTCGGCGTCTGATGTTCACTTTTTCTCTACATGCCCAAGAGGCATATGACAGGAGGCCACTTTATAACTCATATTTCAAGCAAGCAATGATAAGGAAGCCGCTGCGTATGTTGGTCCATCCATGCTTTCTTCGTCTTAGAGAGAAAATATAATTTGATAAGTATTTTCTAAAATTTCTAATGCTTTTATCAGGTTGTAAAGATGAAATTTAGACATTTCAAACTTTTTATAGAAATGACTGAAAAAAAGAATGTTCTATAACATGTGGGTATTTACAGTAGAGCATCGATTATCCGACCCCCGATTAACCGAGCGTTCTAGTCGGGAAATTTCAAATGTCCGCTAGTGATGTGGCACTACAATATTTGGCTATGTCTTGGCTACTTTAATATTATTTTTGTTAAATTTTTGCGTGTTTTAGCTGGCAACACGGCTCGACCATTGATGGGAGGCCAGTATTTAAACGAGACTTAATATTCTAATTATGAGTGATTGTTTGTTTTGTGAGCAATAAATTAATTTTAAAATAATTTTTAACGATACAATAGTGACGATTAGTATTTTAAAAAAATTTGTTAGGCTTAACATCGATGAAAATTCAACGCGAAGTTGGTTAATAGCGATATACTAATACACTGATTACATGGGATATACTAATATACTATACTAATAATGTATTTTTTTTCATTCTTTTCGGTTATCCGACCAACCCGAGTCCCCAATTGAGTCGGATAATCGATGCTCTTCTGTAGTTATAATTAAAGTAACCAGAGAGCATTTCAACACGTATTGCATTGGAAATTTCATCGGCAATGTCTAACAACACGAAACTTTCGAATGCGTGCTGTTGCTTTATCACTTCACCCCGCAACGAAGGCTTACCATCTCACCTTCAAAGCGTTTTGTTAAAGCGTTACTAGGTAAACAAATTCGAGCATTCGTGGTAAATGTCAAAGTCCCAATAGTGCGAAAGAAGGCTATGATTGGCTTTGTTTGCGGACGTCGTGATGCAGCCGCTTGTACAAAATCATCATTAGAAAACCACTCGACCGTGAACAACTAGGTGGTTCGAACAGAGATCAAATTGCTTCGTCTAAAAATTGACAAAGCCCATACTGACACGAAAATATGCCAGCATGTACTGTACAGTAAGGACCAACCTAGAGAAGCTGGAAGAGTCTGCTTCATCTACTGTACGGCCCATATTTGGCGCAGTACAGTGGAGGAAGCATACAATACTTGGATATTGATTCTATATTTATAGAATCAATACCCGACGTTGGAAATTATCTTCAAAGAAAAACACTGTTGATTCTATGCTCACATGGCTGCATGACGACAAATATGGACTATATAGATATTGAAGAACCTCCAACCGCGTCTTCTGCAGTTTGTCCATTGTCGTAGCAGCCACGAGGGCGCGAATTGTCCCGAATCAAAATGGCACCTTGGCTAAGCATCCAAAGCATCTCGCTGTTTCACTTTAATAAATAATTTATTTCTCACTCGAAATATTGTTAAAAAATTTTGCGCAAAACATAATTTTCAATAAAACTGTGCTAAACGTTTATTTTACGATTTATTTGATTAAGTTATTGTTTGTAAAATGTAAATTGCAATTTCTTTAAAGTAGTATTCTTATCCTTTTAATTTTGTGATTTTGTCCCTAAACAAAACCTCAAAAAAACACGAATTAAAAGAACGATCTAAACATAAAATTTGAAAAAGCTCACTTATAATTAGCCTAAGTTTATTTTTATCGTTTAGAATTACGAAATTGTATAGAAGTTTTATTAAATTTTTCATGAAAAAATGTGTCGGGTAGTTAATATTTTCGTTTATTATACAGTAGAGCCTCGATTATCCGACCGTTTTAGTTGGCAAATTCAAATGTCCGCTATTGATGTGGCGCTACAATATTTGGCTATGTCTTGGCTACTTTAATATTATTTTTACGTGTTTTAGCTGGCAACACTCATTCGACCATGAAAGGGAACCAGTATTTAAACGAGGCTTAATTTTATAATTTTTAACTATACAATAGCGACGATTATTATTTTAAAAAATTTTTGTTAGGCTTAACATCGATGAAAATTCAACGCAAAGTAGGTTAATAGCGATATACTAATATACTAATTACATGGGATATAATAATATACTACACTAATAACGGATTTTTTCATACTTTTCGGTTATCCGCCCTTTCAATTATCCGACCAACCCCAGTCCCCAATTAGGTCGGATAATCGAGGCTCTACTGTATTAAACTAGTAGCCCGGGACGCCCCCTAGTGGGCGTTCTAGCAGCAGCGGTGCCATTCCGTGGTATAAATAATAAAATCCTATTACAAATAAAAATAATATATACTGTTAATAAATAAATTATACTATAGCAGTAATTTAAATAATAGCTGTAAATCATGGCTAGGGACCTTGTGTGCGTTCTAGGCATTCCATGACCAGTGCTGCCGTTTCTAAAGTAATCTCAACCTCTCAGGGCATATGTAATAGCATCAGATCACAGCAGTTTAGGGTAAAACTGCCGTGATCTGATGCTATTACATATCGCGCCAAAGTTTCGCCGAAAAACGTTTTAGCCTAAAACCGTTCTGTTTTCCCCTATAAATGGAGTGCTTTTAGGATATGATAACAGAAGCTAAAGAAATAAAATAGATTGGTGCTAGGTACATGGATGTACACTGTATATTAAACCCGAGGATTTCGCTTTTCTCAACCTTCATGCCATTGGGCCATAGGCACTCTCCATATCATATGTAAATTAATACCTCTGATAAAGCCTAAAATTCCTAAGACATTATAGTTATTAAGATTTTTAAAAACAATGAATTAAGAATTGTTATGCTTACTATTTCACAATAATAGTACAGAGATCTGCGTCATAGAATCGTTCTCATTATTTTTATTTGCACTTCTGAATGTGGTGAAACTATCACTTCAGTGCCTCTTCAATAATTCACAGAACACATGAAAGTAATATGGTAAGAAGTTCAGGCTGTATGGTGAAACACTGCATTAATTCTGCACACAATCAAGAATAAGTCTTGTCAGATGGTGATGGTGATCCTCTTGATGACATTACAAGACTGACACAATCCCAAACTTGTGACAAGCTTGAGAACTTCAAATGGGAAATTCTGCAACACCACCTTACAGTCCAGACCTTTTACCATGCAACTTCATGTTTTTGGTGAATTGAAGCACTTGAAGGATTACAGGTTTATATTGATTACAGAAGTGCATGTGATCATAACTTCCTAAAGCAGAAATCAAAGGACTTCTAAGAGCATGGAATTACCAAACTTGCTACGTAGTGGAACAAACACCTCAATGACAGTGGTCATTACTTTTAATACAGGCATGTTTTTGAATAATTTATATTGGCTCACTTTCATTTGACTTGTCCTAACAGAAACAATAGTAAAAATGTTGAACAAGGTTGAGATGAATTAAATATTATTCTTTGGGTTTCCATGCATAAAAATCATAAAGTAAAAAAAAAAGATTGAGATTTAAGTTTCCAGAATGGTTTTGATTTTCTGATGAGTAGGAGCTTCACCTTGTGTTCTGAAAGCATTTGCACAAACTATGATGATGAGTTTTTCTTTATGGAATAGAATCCTTGTACTTGAGCTTCATGGAAATTCACTAAAGTTTTGTTTGGAAGCTTTCTTAAGTAAAGGCTGCTTTCATCAGCATTACAAATTGCTTCACTGAAAGATTTTTCTAATTCCTCTTAACAGGAAAAAATGGTTAAAATCACCTGTAAGTCTCTCACCACAAATAATCGGAATTTGAACACCAAAATATGATTTGATTTGTAGCTAGCCTTCACTTGCATTGGTTCTTCCAGTAATTTTTCCATAAATTTTGCTTTTCTTGGATATTTGTCCACTAATTGGCAAACCTTTCCTATGTTCTAGCACAAACCAGAAGTACAATGCTTCTACTTTTGGATTTTCAACTTTTTTGAGTTTCTTCCTTTTCCCTAGACCACACTGTTTAGAAGCAAAACTTAAACTTTGTAGCCATTTTATCAGTATTATTTTCTTTATTTCAGAAACTGTTAATATTCCTATTCTAGAAAAGAACAAAAGTTGTGCAAATTTGACAGAAATTTACACAGACTAAAATTCTTTTTAGTCACTATTGTCAAACTACCCATTTTCTATGGCTTTTTGGATCTATTTTACTGTTCAGACTTTTCTGTTGAAAAAACATAATTCAAAAATGAACATGTAACATGTCACTGTCTCCTATTCATCCTCCTTACAGAACAGTCACATACTTCCTAATAAGAGATAGGGATAAAAGAAGCATACTATACATATATTTTCAGACTGCATCCAAATGACAGGGTCAACCAATTGAGATCAGGACACTCACAATTCTACTGTGTACTTGTTAAATTCAAGAAATAACAACTAATTATAATGTACTGTTTTTGAACTTTATATGAGACATAATCATGAATTAGGATTAATTCTTATTAACAGAAATATCAATGACTGAATTTTCCTTGATAATTTATTGTTAATTAACTACATCTCACAAACTTTACAAATTTCTTTTCAGCTTTTAAGCTGACAGATAATATTTAAACTATAATATTTTCATATTTGATTTAATTAATTTCTTTCAAGTAGCTAATTTTTCACAACCTCATACTAATTCTTTTTCGGTTGTGCTAATTCATAAATTGTATAAAAACAATAAACTGTTCCCACAGCACACAAAGCTAAAGTGGTTCCATACAAAACACGATCAATAGCACCTCCCTTCAGATGCATTGGAACACCATCATCAATCTACAAAATAAATTATATATAAATAAAAATATAAAATGTTTTTTTTAATATTCAACTAATGAAAACTATGTACAGTAAAACCTCTAATCTTGAATCCCTCAAATCAAACTGGATTGCTAGTCCTAGTGAACACATTATATATTTTTCTACTCCAAAAATCAAAAATATATTATGCATCTCATTGTTGTTCCTCCTTAAGTTAAACTCAACAGATGCTGACCTACCAATTAAATTCCACGAATTCTTTTGCTGTACTGCCTGTAAAATGGCTTTAAAATACAACTGTATAAAAAAGCCAATGAGCAAGCCAAGACTGTATCATTGGCTTGCTTATTGATTGAAGGTGTTTTCTCAGGCAATGTATCTTTTGTTCATGAGCATTCATGAGCACAGTTGCCAGCTTAGTGGAAACACCCAGATCTAATGGGAATATTTAAATTTGATGTAGCATAGGAAGGTAATTGTGTGATATACTCAAATTCATGATAATTATTTTAATCTTTACTAAAGTCTGATATGTTATTCTAATAATCATTTGAATAAATATTGTCAACTTAAATATATCACAGAATTATATCCCTTATTCTATTCCTTTATACTTTGCATGTGAATAAAAATTATTCTATTTTTTATATATCTCTGTGTATAGAACACTCCATAACTTGAAGTGGCCATTCTTGATCCCTTTAAATTCAAGATTTAGAGTTTTACTGTATTTATACTAGAAACCACTTATCATAAATCATAGATATTATAATCAGTATAGGTAAATTTCAAAATAATTATATATATAGCGATACATAGCATTAACAAAAAAAATTTTGTCTTTGAAGTATATATATCATCATTTTAAACTAAATAATGATGCAAACATTATTTGTACCTGATAGGTATCATTTTGAAATCTGATATATATTAAAATATTTATATTGTCATTATATTTCTTATAAGAAATCATTTGTAAATATTAGAAACATTAAATGTTTAAATACCTAAATTTCAAAATAAATGCATTACATTAATATAATATATTATAATTTTTTTATAAAGTCTGATTATTACACTCAAACAACTTTACAGGGAAACACTTTCAGATGAATGTTGAGTTGATACTTTAATCTTTGTCCTGACCTGATGTCTTTGCCATCTTCATAAATGGCAAAGACACTATTAGGTCAGGACAAAGTTTAAAGTACCACCAACTCAACCACAATTCCATAAACCACTAACTTCACAAGAATACATTCATGCGCTTATAGCCTATTTTGTTCACAGTTTAAGAATATGATTCAGTATTTATGGGATCTGGTTACATGACTAACCCATTTGACTCCCTTGAAAATCTGTTGGATATCACTTTTAATATACAAACAGCCAATTGCTTGGTCAAAAATTACAATATAACTTTCTTTTTCAAAATGTTTCCATTGCAAACTTGTGCTTTGTTTCAATCACTTTAGACCAAAATAATACTCATCATGATATTCAATTATCTCTTGACCAATCCTAGTAGGTCAGAAAAGCAATTAGGCTTACAGAATCATCATCTCCAACCACAAATTAGGAAGGACAAAGTTTCAACTCCTAACTCAATATTCACCTGAAAGGGTTTCCTTATTAGTAAAAATTACCAATTTAATATTTAAACAAGTATTATTAGTTTTGATATCCAAATGATTAGTTACCGCATATCTTTTTTGCAATTCTTTGAGTTTCTTCTTCTGACGAATTGCAAATTCGGGTTCTTTCAACATTTTGGAACTACTAGTAAACTGACGTCCATAGCGTGCTAGACAAACAATACCCTAAAAATGCAAAACATTTGAGTTAAATTGTATTATTGTTGAAATGAAGAATAAATGTTTAACAGCTATATTTATTATGTTATTTCTATTCCAAATGCATTATCACATGTATATCAATTTCAAATAATCCTCAAATTTACAAATGCTCCTTGTATTTAAAATAAAATGAAACAATAAATTTATCTGTTTATATTATATAAGAATTAAATTCTAAGATACACATGACTAAAATCAGTTATTTTGAATAAGCAAAAATATTTTTTTACATTTTTAATAAAACCAAGGCTACAGTAGGCTTTGAAGCATGTGTTATGACAACAGTTTAGTACAGGTAGCCCTCGGTTTATGCCGATTCACAATAACGCCGCTGCGCAATTCGCCGTTTCGAGGTGTAATTTCCCGATTTTCCCTATGCTAGACTGATTTTCATTTCAGTGTTGACGTATTTACTGAGCCGCGACATCGTACATTCGTTAAAACAAAGATTTTTATTAAATATATTTATTTTTTCTGTTTAATATTATTGGGTATGTATACATTTGCATTAAATTAATATTAAAATACTAGGTACCCAAGAGTCAAGATATTAAACTTAATAGTCCAATAAATGGCGTCCGAATCCATAGCGCCAATGAATGTATCCCGTATCAGTTCGTTCAGGAATACACCTTATGACGCAATAGCACTTCCGGTGATCACAAATTATCGTTAGTGAGACAAATCTACTTCTCGTTGGCCAGACAATATTTATCTCTCCTTGGCCACCTTAAATTTTCCCACTCAAACTGACCTTATATATGCGCTAAGGAGACCGGTGGTCGACCAATCAGTGTCTTTGCTTGTCTGTAGCTCTACGTCGGGTTAACGTATCCTTTCAACTAAGGAAAGTTTGACGGATGAAGTTTGTGAGTTAGACAATGTTGGGAGTGAAGTGTAAATGTAAAAAGGAGCATCATATTCGACCATATTCTGAAATTCTTAATGAAAGAAATCAAAAATGTAAACAATTAAAGATAGATACTTTTTTCCGAAAAATGTAAGAAATTCGAAACTAAAAATTTTAAATAAAAACATTTTACTTTATTTTATGATAAAATACATTTTAAAAATTAAATTTATTTGTACTTTGTATTATATTGTATTAATAAACAAAATTATTTGCATATTTTTCACTTATGTGGAACCTAATCCTATACCTCACTGTAAATACAGGTTCGTTTTATGCCGATTCGATTTGCACCAGCTTTTGTAGGAACAGAACTGCGACGTAAACCGAGGGCTACCTGTATATAACTTAAACATTTGAAATGATTTCAACTATAATCTGTTCACATGCAACAAAACTGTAAATACATTTTGTAACTTTCAATTAACTGATTTTATATAACACTCACCAAATAAACCATCACCAGTTCATAACCAAACAGAAAAATTCTTTCTACAAATGTTTTCATCTATATGTAATAGATGAAAACGTTCATAGAAAGAATTTTTCTGTTTGGTTATGAACTGGTGATGGTTTATTTGGTGTTATATAATTAAGTACCCAGTTTTTTGAAATACAGTATAACTGATTTTATTTGCTTTTTTACAATTTTTGGAAATACTAATCATACAAATTAAACTAATACTACTAAAATTTATACAATAAATCTATTTTAGCATTGATAATCATTTTTAAATAAAAAACAATTAACACCTGATATCTTTGTTTGCACTAAAATGATTGTGAATTCAAACATTTTTTAAATAATGTATATTTTTTCTATATGTTGTTAGGTATAAAAATTTTAAATAAAATGTCAAACATGCACAAATTTCATAAAGGACAAGATCATATGATGATAAAATATATCAATCATAATTTAAAACCAATTATTCTAAAGCCAACATTTACTGTATTGAAATTTCAGATAACAGAATACTGGTAATAGATACAGCAGCAACTGTACATTTCTATCATCACATTGTATTTCATTATTCATGAAGATCTTGAAATATCTGTAACATGAGTTCAATCGAGATCAGTTTTCCCAAAAACAATAAAACATTTACTTAAATTCAAAAACAATGTCAGTAAAGATATTTCAATGACTCATTAATTTTTATTCTCAGTTACAATCAATGATAAATGAGACATGAGCATTATTTAAATATAAAAATATTTCAAATAGACTCAATATAGCAATATAATAATTTATTTTTTGGAAAATGTTCTATATTTTGATACCTAAAAAATAATAATTTCTATATAGATGACAAAAAATTTTGCTTTTGCTAAAAAATTCTCATAAATAAAAAGCTGCACTAACTGGCTCACCGATATTTGCAAAAATGAATGAGAGCATGACAGCATTTATTAAAATCTTTATAAAAATATGCAAGATAGATTTTAAAGATTTATTAGATGGATGATCATCCATGTAATTCGAACAGGAAATTCACTGTTCCTAGTATATATGAGCAATGCTATATAGTTAAAATAAACATAAATGTAATAGATATAGAAGGACCAAGATCAATTTATAAAATATAATTGAAGAAATGGATAAATTTAATTTTGCCAAACGACTGCCAAATATATCAGGCTATATTACTAGTATTATTAATTAAAGGTTAAGTAATTTGGCCTTAGAGGCAGTCATTAAGCACCATTTCTTGCTAATATATATATAATATAATATTGTATATATATATTCCCCCTCCAAAAAAATAAGTGTGAAAGTGAAAATTGGACACAAATCAGAAACTACTGCAGCAATTTACTTCAAATTTTACAGTAACATAGAATAAGTCTCTGCCTATTATTAGCATTAGTGAATGAGGAATGTTTGTCAAAAAGAGATATGACCTCTTCTTACACTTATGCAAACTGCACAATGATAATTCATGACAGCTATCAGATGATTAGTGAAGTCATAAGGCAGAAATCCCCACTGTTGTATGAGAGTAAGTTAGAGCTCAAGTACTGTTCAGAGGAGTTTGGTGAGAAGCTACAGCTCTCCCCAGACCATTCCATGGTATGGCAAACTATTGCTTTGTGAGAGCAAAACATTAGCAAATGTGCACTAGCACACCCAATGACGTCACAGGTCCTTCCCTTTTCTTCGCGCCCGAGTGGTTAAGTCTTTGCTAGTGCTATGATGTGAGTGTATGCTCGCATCACGACAGAATTCTAACAGATAAAATTGTTGTGCTAGCAAGTGCAAGTGGGGAAAATGGCTAGTAGCTTTGGGGGAAAGAAAGAGGGGCTTTGGAGCTTGACCAAGCATACACTAGCTTCTCCTCCTGTAGTTTGCAGCAGTTCTAAGATTCAGATCTGGTAAATATGCTGGCCACTGCATTCCCTTTGCCTTTAGGTAACTGTGTACAGTACAAGCTCTATGTGCCAAACATTGTCGTCCATAAGAGCAAATTTAGAACCAATTGCATCCACATAAGAGTCAAGGATTTCATCCTGATATCTTTGGCCCATCACCATACCACACCATAAGACAAGGAGATCAATACAGTCATCTAAGGAAATTCCAGCCCATATAAGGATGCCACCACCATAAAAAGAATGCCATTGAAAAATCTTAATCATTTGATTCTGTGTACCACTCTCTTTCCACACAAAATTTGTTGATCTTCTGAGTGTAAAGCAAATCATGACTCATTGGTGAACAGGACATTGCTCCAATCATCTATAGTCCAAATGACATATTCCTGATACCACTGTAAATGGGCTACTGTGCCTGGCAGACAATGGAACAGAAATGTTTGGCCTTCACACACAAAACCCATGTGAATGCAATCTCCTTCTTACAGTGGTCACAGATTCAGGCCTCCCTATAACTGCAACAAAGCTTAAATGTAAAGCAGGTGCTGTTGCCAGTCTATTGCATTTGACTAATAATGCTAAGTAGCAGTCATCAGATGATGATGTAACTTGAAAGTGACCAGAGCCTAACCTTCTGCTTAATGTTCCAGTAAATTGGAATTGGGTTCATGGGTGAAATCACAGAGTCTGACAATCCTTTGTTAGGGAGTTATGAAAGGAATTCCTTGTAGTGACCCATGTTTGCAAGTATCTCAATAACCAATGTCCAAACAGAAGGATTGGTCAAGGGGGATCCATTGCCTGCCCGTTCACCAGATTTGAATCCTATGGATTTTTACCTCTGGGGACATTTAAAATCCTTGGTGTATTCAATTCCTGTACCTGATGTTGGTGTTCTGAGGGAGCATATCCAAAATGGCTTTGACCAAATTCAAAACATTCCACGAATTTTCAACAGAGTATGGCAAAGCATGGAATGCAGGCTCGAGGATGCATCGAAGCAGGAGGAGGTTACTTTGAGCAATTTTTGTAAATCTATGTTGTTAAATGCCTTACGTGTAACATTAGCAATAAACCTTATAACTTCCAATAAAGGATTTTTGGATCCATGTTCATATGAATTTTTTGTAATGTTTTGATGTCAGAAACACACACCTACATTTATGGATTCCAATATAGATACACTGTGTATTTTGTATTATACATAATCAACTGTAATAATTAATAAAATCTAAAAAATATAAACAGACAGTTTAGTTATTAACTAAAAAGAAAAAGTATATATCATTCAATTTCGCTTTTTGGGGCTGAAACAGGGTGGAGTGAAAGCTGAAGAGTGGTAGCATTAATTCTTTTTTAAGTATCTTTTAATGCAGCTGTAGAAATCTGACAGTAGCACCAAAGCTCAAAGTGAATACATAGAAAATATTACAGCAATCTCTATTATATCTTAGGGCAGTTTTTGGAACTATGCCTTTCTATCCCTATTATTACATCCAAAACAAAGCAGGAATCAAATAAAGTGCTTGGGGCCTACATAATGCGGCTTGAATGTTCGGATCTTTCTCTCACTACAGTTCATTATGGGTGGAAATGACACACCATTCCTAAACACAGAACTTGTTTTCACATGTTCGCATAACCTTTGTAAAAAATGTGTCTAAAATGTCATTAGACAGTGTAAGCATTTTCATTTAAGAGAATCAAAATAAAAAACACTGCACATTTTATTTGTTTCGGGAGTATATTAGCATGAATATTTCAGACTTTTAAGTGCGTAGAAATCCACACATTAATGACAATGATATTAAATTCCAAGTTGAGGATGATGATGATGATCATCATCATCATCCTTAACTTGGATATGCTAAAGAAACATTGCCCAAAATTTTAAATTTGATTAACTTATGTATCTTATGTACCCTGTACAGTACCATTACCATAGATTATATACATTATGCAAACAATCCTTCATATCAGCTAAGTAAATTTGGGTGTTTGGAATAAAATTTACTTAATTAATCATCTTTTTTTATGTTTTCAGCTTTATAAATTACATATTCAGCAACTGAATTAAAAATAAAATCTTTAATGGACATTATAGCATCTTATAAACACTTAAATAATTTCATCAATCCATCAATAAATAAATTTTCACGTATTCATAAAAGATATATTTTCTATTCTTACTCTTTGAACATTCATTTTCTTCTTCTTCTGTAACTTCCAAACAAAATGGACGTAGGACGTTCTCGCCGCTAATCTCGAACTAAAAATAGTTATAATATATTAAACGAAATAAATTTTAATTTAAATAATTTATAATTAATTAATTTCGATATAAATTAATTAAAATAAATATACGATTATATAAAATTTTAAAAAATCAAATAATAAAGAATATCAATTTTAAAAATTTCGTTAAGTACATTAAAGTTGGAACAACTTTAGAAAAATATTTTTTATTAATTAAAAATAAAAAGTAAAACTATACAACGTAACGATTTTTGCTTTTATTAAACTTTTCGCCAATTTTTTTTAACTCAAAAACGATTGCGTCACCGAAAAAGTGAGAACGAGATTATTGCCAGTAATGCCTGGTTTGGAGAAGATTGTGGTGTGTTGGTAATTTCTCAAGGATTAAATTCTCTTTTTGACCTAAATTATAATTTTACTTTCAATTTTGACTTTATAAACCTATAAAGATCTCAAATATATTTGTTTGGATATCGAAATATTTTAAATCTTTATAAAAATGGTGGATACTTCACAAAATAGAGACGATGAAACTGAGCAATTAATAGATTCAAATGGGAATGAATCAAACGAGGTAAATTACGTTTATAAGAAATATATTGAATAATTAACTTCGTACATATCTTTATATTAATCTCTAGAAGTATAAATCAGTTGAGTCATTAACGGCTTACTACACATTTTTTTGTCTTTTTATTTATTTATTTTTCAACTGAAAATAGTTATAAATATTAATAAATAAATATACTTTAAAGTAATTGTTTTAAGTATTTAAATTCATTTTACATAAAGATTATGAGTTTTTCCTTTGATTTTTATTTAAAAAATTAGTTTCTTTATATATATATATTTTAGTACAAGGAAAGTAAGTTTTTATAGAATTTTTGTGAAGTTATATATGTGTAGTGTGTTAAATTTATTTATATAAAAATTATTTACTTTATATGTCGCGCATTATCATTTATTTTTTGGTCCTGCAGGTTATGTCGGTGGACGTTGCATAGTACGGAACTGTTTATACAAGTGAAACTATATGCGTTCTTTTAATAATAATTAAGAAGGTTCAAAGTTACTAGGTTAAATTGGTTTATTTCTTATGAGTTGAAGGATTTTCTCGTACAAATATTCCAAGAAAATTACAGATATATCAGGTTTTTTATAATATATATATATATATGGAATGGAAGAAAAGATAATCCTGCAGTTACATCAATCTACCGCATATTTTTTAAATCATCAACAATATATATTGTTGATGATTTAAAAAATATGCGGTAGATTGACGTAACTGCAGGATTATCTTTTCTTCCATTCCATATATATATATATATTATAAAAAACCTGATATATCTGTAATTTTCTTGGAATATTTATACGAGAAAATCCTTCAACTCATAAGAAATAAACCAATTTAACCTAGTAACTTTGAACCTTCTTAATTATTATTAAAAGAACGCATATAGTTTCACTTGTATAAACAGTTCCGTACTATGCAANATTCTATATATTAACATATTAATAGTAAAATATGTAATGTGTTTATCTAAAAATGGTTTAATATTTTTAAAAGCTAGGATGAAAAGTTAATGTTTTCAGGTTACTTAGTCTTTCAGAATTTGTTTATTGTGAAGATGCATTAATTGTAATTTTGTTTTTATCATAAATCTGTAATTTTAAATTATTGCGATTTTTCTATATTCAACTCTCTAAAGTTGTAAATATTTTTATTTATACAAATTGCAATTGGTACGTTAATGTTATTTGAATGAAGATTAATGCAGTTAATATTAAAGTGTTAAAACATAGGGAAAATACAATCTTTCAGACATATTTTGTTGTTTCTATATTGGATAATTTTTAAAAAAAGAAATAAATTACTGCTGTTGGTAGGAATAATTATTAGACTCCATTTTAAATTTATCATTAGTTCTAAATTTATAGATTTATTCGGCTAGTTTGAAAGACAAAATTATAGTAACCTATATTCAATTTACTTGCAATTCGTAATCATTTTACCATGAAATACTTTTACTACTTCCTTCAGCTATTTTTATTAAGATTGCATTTTTAGTAACTTTTCCTGCTTTTTATTTCTCTTCACATTAACATATAAAGAATTTACATATGCATTACAATACCATTTTTTTTTAATTATTAACATTTAAATGTGATGTATCAGTGTTTTGCAAAAATGTAATTTATGCTTAAATGTTTTGAATACAAATTTGATATTACTTCTACATTACTTTCATTTATCATGCAAATTTTACATAGAATTTTAAGTTTTAAACTTTAATAAAAATAGAATTAAATTACTAATAATTCAATGGTAAAACTTAAGTTAAGTCTGCTTTTTTTTATTTTTACACACTAATTATATTATTGCAAAAACTGGTGTGTGTGTGTGTATACACGTGTATATATATAAAATCACACTATATACTTATGTAAGTATCCTCAAAGAATGAATTATAATTAAATCCTCTTCTAATGTTTCAACATTAGACAGTAGTTGTAGTTGTTATCCAGATTTCTCTAAATCTAATTGTGAGACCATAAAAGAAAATTTTATTTATAATTATATTTAATAACTCACATTTGTTTGCTTTTTATTTTCATATTCTGGGGATCAATTCATTATGATTTGGTTGCCATCTTGACATTTCCTGTCATAGTAATTAATTTGCATAATTAAAGAATGTTAAATAGAAATTGATTTTTGCAAAGTAATGAAATTATAATTATAATTTTTTTCATGTAAATGTATTTATGAATTTAATAATAGTAAACTAACAGTAATTGTTAATTTTTGTAAACACTTAAATAATATTTCACAAATATGAAGTCAAAAGTGTATACAAAAAAGTAATTGTAAAGATGAATAAGTATGCTTTAACTGATTGCATTAGTGTTGAGTGATTTGTGCTATTTCAGACTCATTATGCTTTATATTGAGAAATTTGATTATTGTTGGTTAAGTATCTTTCTTTGATTAGGATTTTGTCTTAAGTTATAATCAGTTAATTACATGAGGATAATTGTATTTAGTAACTTTTTTGTAATTAAATGTTTAATATCTGTTTAAATGGAAGACTGACATTTGAAAATTGTTAATTTAATAAAGTTGTGTCAGAATTTGTTTAAAAAAAAGTCAAAATGTTTATTATATTATCGATTAATCACTTGTCAAATTTAAAAATTTGAAATCATGTAATCAATGTTATTGATAGATGGCCGTATGACTACCTGCAGCATCACATTATTGCCTTTTTAAATTAACCCAATTCTAATCTGGTAATTTTGATATAATTATTAATATTTGATATTTAAATTAAGTTTTTAAAATTGTCACATGCATGAATGGATATAATATTTTTCTAATGAGTCATTTTTATAAATATGGTTATAGAATTTATGTAATCATTTCAATATGTTGTTAATATTAAAAAGTATGATGATTTCTAAAATATTCTTGGAACATTCTAACATTCTTTAATATTGATGATGTATTTACTTGTTTGAGAACTACAACTCTAAGTAGATTTTAATTAATATTGTAATAATTCATTTACATTTTCTATATCAATTACTTCATCTTTTATATATTGATTTTTTAATGCTAAACTAGTGTTTACTTTTCTTTGACAAGTGTCAATTGTAATTGCCTGAAATTGTTAGAACATCTAATGTGCTGACTTGCAAACAATGTCGATTGATTGTGTGTCTTGAAAGACACGTGAAAGCAGAATCAAAATTACACCTGTTTTTGTTAATTGTTATCTTTATCTGTTCTTCTATCTTGTCATCAGTGTTTGTATTATTGTCTTAGTGTTCTTGACATGTTTTTAACACAATAAACAGATGGGAATTTTATAGAGAAATTTTAAAATATTGCAAACTATTTAATAATTTAATTTTAGTTAAATATATATATATTTATTTATAATTGAAAATAAAATTTAATATGATTACATTTAACAGATAGTATTAGTTTAATAAAATTTGTAGTTTAAGAATTATCTCTGAATGCTGAAGTAATTTTTTTAACATTACTGAAATTTTAATGTTTATACTTCACTAATTCTTTGTCAATTAATTATGATGTAATATCAAATTTAAAAAAACATTATCCTCATAGCAATGAATTTTAAGAATATATTTAACTTAATTTTACAAAAAGAAAAAAAAAATAAATTTATGTAGACAATTAAATTTCTTATTTGTTGCTTAAGATGTCTTGTAACTATTATACTACTAAATTTGAATTATGAAATAACCTTCAAATTTATTTTTCATAATATAAAGCTTAGGAAATCATAAATATACATGAATTATGTATTAATTATTGCAAATTGTATAAACTAAATGTATAAACTTTTGTATTTTACAATAATTGGATTGTTAGTTGTATGAGGCATAAAGAATTAAAAAATTTACCATGACAAATAAATATTTAGAATTATCTCAATTAAATTTTTAATATATTATAGTGATTATTTTTTGTTTTAATCAAATAAGAATGATTTTTTGTTTTTTAAATAACACATATCATGTAAATAAAGTTTTTGTTATGCATTTGAAATGTTTATAGCTTTTGAGATAAGTGTAATTTATTAAAAAGGATTTTTGGGTTAAAGATGTAGGGAAACAAGTTGAGCAAGGCTGGAGAAGTAATATCAATATCAAAATTTTGATAGAGATTTCTTCAATATATTGATATTTCAGTATATTGGTATCAAATATTAAAATATTTTAGAATATCAATATTGTAAACATATATCAATTTTGGCTTGATTACATCAGCTATTGACACAACACTAAAGTTAAGAAATGAAAACTTTAATATTAAAAAACATTGCATCTAGACCTTGTGCTATGAACCATGCACTACAAACCAAGTTGTGGTATATGATTGAAAAACTGAGTTTTTTCAATTATATATTGCAATTCAAAACTTGACTTGCTTAAGAGTTGATAATTGCTTAGTATCAGATGATGAATGTGTGTACTTCTGGAAAGTGTTATTCAAAATACTCTAAACTAAAAAATACTTCAAGCAACTTTGAGAAAAATTAACTGTAATATTCTGTCTCAACATTACATAGTTTTTCAATTCTCCTACATTTGAATATGCAATTACAATTATCTTTAGTATTTGAATAATAATAGTAATGAAGAAATTTTGATGTTAAAATTGTTGACATAAAAAAATCACTTTAAAGATTCACTATATTTATCAGTTTAAACTATCAGTTCTCCATTAAACTATCATTCTGAATAATGTAAACAGATAGTTATTTTCAGATGCAGATTGCAAAAATGTAGAGAAGTTTAGAAGAATCTTTAAAAATGAAAACTTACTTTTTTCACTTATAATAATTGAAGTATTAAAAACTCCTCAAAAGCTGGAATTTTCTTTTCTATAAATGAAGTATTAAAAAGCAACTTATACTCGTGGTAAGAAATTTGTTCTTTAAAAAGAAATTAGCAGTGTTTTCAGTTGTTTTGAACAAAAACAAACTAGAAAAAAGCTCAAGAACATTTAAAGAGTACTGGAATAATCTACAATAAACTAAATTTTAAGTTATCCTGTTTTTGCAATATTTTTAAGAAGGACACGTCTTTCATAATCATCTTAACTTTTGTAATAATTTATGCCTATTAGTTTTTGTATATTCTAAAATAAAAACAAATTGAGATGATACTTTTCAAAAGGAATTTTATCTCCTAATTTCTTTTATTTAAAAATAAATTGCTTTTTATATATAAAAAAAATTTTTAGAATTTGAAAAAAAAATCATTATTTACCAGGAGGACTTTTTATTAAATTTTCTACTTTTTTTTTATTATGGTGGTTACATAATTTCAAAAGAGTGCTTCAGCTGCAGAATACTTTATCATTATGTCATTATTGGTGTATTAAAGATAAAATTTGATATACATTTGAATATCTTTAAAAGAAAAATCTAGACAACTTGCCAAATTATTGTACTATAATTATACTAAGTAAATAATTAGATACAAATAATTACTTTGTATCTAATTATTAACTTAGTCTAATCGTAGCCAGATAATTCAGCAGACCGTCTGGCTTTAATCAAAAATCAAGTTTGAGTTGTTGTTTATATAAGAAAAATCTAATGGAGAATTTTATGAATGTAAAAGATTTTATTTCAATTGTTTATCTTAGTTACAAGAAAACTTAATTTTTTTATTATCATCATTAGTGATTTAACAAAATATTTAATATTGAAATTCATATAAAGAGTGAGCATTATTAACTAATTATTTTGTGTCTATGATATTTTGTTTAACATTAAATGCATTCTGAGACAATGTAAACAATTTAATTTTTCTGTGATTGTACTGGAAATAGCCAAGTTAATTTATTTTCATATAATATAATTATGACTGCTGATATAATTATATTTCTTCTTACAGTTCACTAATTTTATTACTATAATTGGAATAAATTATAATAACCATAATACATTATGTAAATTGAAGAAAACATTCACCATATTTTAGTTTTCTCAATTGTTATATGCATTGTTATTTACAGCATTTTTATTTATGTAATAATAAATTTTTATAATGAATGGTGAAATTAATGGTTGATGATATTGTTTTTAATATGGAAGATCCAAATTTTCTTACTCAAAGAAGGAATGTAAGATTCAGATAGATCCAGATTTTTTTTTTAAAAAAATAGATAGTATGTAATTTAAGGAATATTCAACATGAATTTTTTGATATATTAATTAATAAAGTAGTTGTAAGAATATAATTGAAATCATCTACTTCCTGAATAAAATTCAGAGTTCCATTAATAGATAAGTTAATTGTATTCGGATAATTAGAACATATGGAATGTTAATGAAGAACAAGTTCAGATTTCAGCCAGTATCAAATACTTTTCCTTCCAAGTTCTGATTTAATTAGTCATTTTATACAATTGCTTACATTTGGATACTCTTTGTTTAGCTGTTTCATTTATTTTTTTGTTTTTAAATGAAATTTCTGCATTTTATTCCTAAATTTTTTTTAATTTGTTAAAAAGAAGATGAATAACTTATTTAAATCATTGAACTGTGTGATTTATTAGAAATTTCATTTTGAAGCATTTGTTACAATGCCTAGAATCTTGGAATTTTGCCTTCATTCTTTTTCTTTTAGTTGAGCAACTGCCACATTCTAGTAAAAAGAAAATAGTTTAACTGGTAGTTAGATGTTTTGATAAGAATGTTAAGTTATATGAAAAATAGTATGCATTTTTTTTGTCTTAGTTATTATAATTGTTATTCTCTTCCATAGTTTTTGATTTATCTGTTAAATTAATATTTGTTTTTCATTTAATTTTAATAACATTGGCTTTCTGTAATGAAAAGCAAGGTAATATTCTTACTTTATTTTAATTAAATAAACAATTTTTAAAACTTGAATAGTTATTTATAAAATTGAAACTTAGTAACTATTAATTTTTTTGAAGACAAAGTCCTTCCTAAAAAGAGGAACCACCATTTATTAATTTGTGTTCCAGACATTACACTTTCGGTGACTGACCTTCCCTTTTAGGCTGCTGATCGCCAAACAATCCTTTAAAAAGACAAACATATATCCAATTAAAAATGTAAACATTTTTAAAAAACAGGAACTAGTGATGTAGAGACATCTTCTATTCTCCATCATACCTTCTGGGGGTTGTTTCGGCTTTTATCTATATGAAATAGACACTGGTAAAATGTAGATGAGGAAAGCTGACCCCTGGTGATGATACTTTAAAATTATTTTTGTAAATCTTTGTCCAATGGCGATAATTATGATTAATTTTTTTGAAGACAAAAGTCCTTCCTAAAAAGAGGAACCACCATTTATTAATTTGTGTTCCAGACATTACACTTTCGGTGACTGACCTTCCCTTTTAGGCTGCTGATCGCCAAACAATCCTTTAAAAAGACAAACATATATCCAATTAAAAATGTAAACATTTTTAAAAAACAGGAACTAGTGATGTAGAGACATCTTCTATTCTCCATCATACCTTCTGGGGGTTGTTTCNATTAATCTATTATTTTCCACTAATAAATTGAACTGAAATTTATTAATTAATTTTCATTATATTTTATAGGTTAGTAATGATCAACAAGATCAGTCAACTCAGCAACAGCAACAGCAGCAAGGAATATCCTATTGGTCTCTTATTAAGGGTATTATTTTGCGAGCTGTTATTATCTATTTTGTAACCAGTTTTTTCCGGAGACCACAGACCACTCAACAAGGAGGGCAAGTCCCTGAAGCTGCACGTCAAGGTTCATCCAATCTTTTTCCTAATGGAACTTTAATGGTAATCATATTAATTTTTTAAATTGAGCTTACTGATTTATCTTTTCGAATACAATGGTGTCTCATATATCAGATTTAATTCATTTTAGGTCATTTGAACTCTGAATGTTGAATTGATTTTTTCAGTAGAAGAAATAATGGAAAGTGAATTAATCCATTCCCAGACACTAAATAATACTCATGTCGATAAACTTTAAATAGCAAATATGCATAATGTAAGGTAAAAATAACACAACTAAATGCTCCAAATCAATGTTTCCCTATCTCTGTCACAACACAGGTTGGACATTCCTAAGTCACACTTGTGTCACACTTGTTAATGCCTCAAGTGTGTTGCAGAAATATTAAATACTTTTTAGAATTTTGAATTAGCTCTTTTTTAAAAATTTCATTTCTTTTTCATCTTTTTATCATCAACTGACTGAAGGGAGAAGGAGGCAGTTACTAAAATGCCAATTGTTGCAAAATTTGTAGCATCAGCCTACTCCTCCCCCTCACAAAAGTTGCATGCATCTATGCTTATGCCAATGTATGAACTCTGGAGCTTCCACAAATATTTCAGCTTACCAATACTAGCACTTTATACATTGATTCAAGTATTCTTTTTATTTTTACAGTAAATTTGTAAAATTGTGAGTTTTTTTAGTGGTAATTTCAACTGCTATATTTTGATCACAGGAATCTTATTAAATTTAAATAAACTGTGTTGCTAATCCAAATAGGTTGGGAAACACTGCTCTAAATAAAAATTAAAATGTGAAAACAATAAATAAACTATGTAAATACAGTAAGACCCTGCTTAACGCGGGGGATGCTTTCCTAGATGACAAAGTGCTAAGTGAAACAGTATTAAATGAGGTCATTTTAACATAGAGTAAATAAGGAAAGGGAAACATGCAACCAAAAAATAAACAAATTTTACTATAATTTTAAGTTATTTTTATATTAATTTGCATAATTATATATGTTAAATAACACACAAACATATGCACACAGAAATGTAAAGTTCATTTTTTGTGACAAAGATCCTGGCTTTTCTGAAATTCTTGTTTTTTGCGATAAAGTCATGTAGTTTTATTTGTCGCTTTTTCTTAAGCAAATGTCTGTAGCAGAAGATTGTTTTGCTTTTGCACTCTTTTCAAAATCTGGACGATTTTGAAAAGAGTGCAAAAGCAATAACGATTTAAGTTATTGTTATCAAACTTTTACTGAGGAAATTGTAGAAAAATTTTTTGGGTTCTTTGTTTTCAGAATCTCTATTTTCCAGTTCTACATGAATTCCTTGTTCTGCCAGTTCTTGAAGATCATTGTTGGTAAGACTCTCGCCTGAAACCTGCAGTAACTCCTCAATATCCTGCTCGTCTACATCTCCTAGTCCTGCTGTATCGATTAGGTTGACAATTTGGTCATCCTAATGATACAGCAATAGGCACTTCTCGTTGAGAATTCTTGGATATCTTCAGCCATAACTTCTTCCACACTCCATTTATGCATTTATCAGTTAATTCTTGCCAAGCAAGACTGATATTTCCTATGGCATCTGTGATACATTTTTTTATAAAATTGCACCAAACAATACAGTGCTATGACAAATTGCCATCTTTTGCTGATTGGTTCGTGTTCGGGAATAATCATATTATATACGAATCAATGAAATGCCACGATAATTTGAATCAACATACATTTTGAACATATTTTTAGGCTTCAAACAGACCACATTATATTGAATCAGCATTAAGTAGGGTCTTACCGTACTGTACAATAAAATGAAAATTACATTAATTTACCTTAGTGAGGAGTGGTGATATCCTGTTTTTTAAGGACCTTGCTTGGTTTTCTCACAAATAATACTCTGAGATTATATCACCAGCCAATTGCTTTTTATTTATGTCCACTAGGAGTAGATTTTTCCATCCAGTCAGTAACATGCAATCTCCCGGAGATCAATGTTGTCACAACTTTATCCACATTTGCTGCTTTTATTGCTTGCTTATTCTTAAATATGGTGCACATTGTTAACTTTGGCATCTTAAACATGGCTGTCAAAACCCACACATATTGTTTTCATGCTTCACAATAAGTTCCTTTTTGATCTTGCTTATCAATACTACAACCTTTCTTTAAGCTTCATTGCTTCCATACTCTTCTTTGATGACATGGTAAATAGATAGGAGTTTTATATATACAGTATATATATAACCAAATACCAAAAATAAAATGAAAAAAGAATTGAGAACACATTAGCATAATACAACAAGTACATTTTTTCAGTGTGTGCAATTCAAACATAAAAGCATTGTTTGAACTCTGATCAAATTTTTCTTGAATTTGTCCTTAGTTTTTAATGAACAAACATATACATATACATGTAAAATATATTTTAATATACAGTAGAGCGTTGATTATCCGAATCATTTGGGGACTGGGGTTGTTTGAAAAATCGATATTTCGGATAACTGATTATGTACGAAAAAATATATTAACCTATCCCATGTTGAAATTTTTCTTTGTTGCGTGTCACTTTGCGTTGAATTTTTGTCAATGTTAAGCCTAACAAAGACTATTGTATCGTTAAAAATTTTTTTATTTTGTACAAACAAAATAAATATATTGAAAAATATAATAAAAAATTATACTTTAGAAGTTAATTTAGTATCAAAAACGTAAAATATTTGAGTAGCCCAAGACATAGCCAAAGATTGCAGTGCCACAGCACTGGCGAAAATTTAAATTTGCTGACTGGAATTTTTTCGGATAATTGACTTTCGGATAATCGACGCTCTACTTTATATCTATTAATACTGTAGTTCATAAACTTAGAAGTTCATATTGTGGAACATCTCGTCGTTAGAACTTCCTTTCAAGATACACAACATAAAAACTTTTCATTCTTATAAAACAATATTTGCTGAAAATATAAAGTTAAAAAGACTTAGCATTTATTTAAAATTTTCTTCTTTAAAAATCGTGAAAAATGTATGTTGTCATTCAAGAATATTTTTTAATTTCTCAGTATTCAGTTCAGTATTTCTTACATCTAAATGAGCTTTTATAGTATATAACAACATAAAATTATCAATAATTATATTCTGTGAATACTATCATACGCTTCTTGTCTAGTCTTCTGAATGGCTTGTGAGAACTAAAATTGGCTTTTCTTTACCACTAGACTTATTACACCACCACAGGACATCAAATTAGACTTAGAAAAACACTATTTTATTTTTAGTAAAAATAATTATCAATATATATTGATTGAAAAGACTCATATGATAATATATCTTGCTATTTTATATTTATTTTTTGATGCTGAATCATTGCATTTGTATCACTATTTTTAGACTTTCCTAAATATATATCACAAAACAAAAGAATTTAAGAAAACTATTTTTTTTTTATCTCTCTTGTATATTTAAGCTTATATGTTGTGTTCTTAATTAATCATTAAATAAATATGACTTATAAAAAAATTGTTTTAATTCCTGGTTATCTGAAGGTTAAAATAGAAATAACATATAGGCTATATTAGAGGTTACAGTTTTTAACAGATGATATAGCTTCTAACTTAAGTCTATAATTTTAAACTGTTCAAGCACAAGCAGTTCTTTACTTAAGAACTTTTTTTATGAATGTTAGGCATTTTTGTTATGTTTAGTTAATACCAGTCTGAATTATTTTAACAAAAAGCATGAACTTTATCTGACAAAAGTCCATTATATGCTATTTTAGTGCATCTTACATGAGTTTTAAAATAATGTTACATTCTAATGTCTTATGTGTAAATGTGTACAAATTTAAATGCATTTATGTGACAATTTTGTACATCTATATCGTACTAATTATGTTTGTTTTCTTTTTTGTTGGATAGTATAATCAAAAACTTCATCCAGTACATTTTCTTGCCACATTTCTTTGTTTTGAATGTGTCAAAAATCCATTATTTGAAACTCTCTTCAGATACAGGTGTTTTGACCTCTGGGAATAAATAGAATACAGACATTGTACTGTACTTACAATTGTCTTTTAGCCAGTAAGATTGTGGAAATGACTCTTCATTTTAATTTTATTTATTTCAAAAAATATAAATAAATTCTTAAAATAGTATTCATAATTTATATACATATTTATTTGTTTAATGTAGACACTATAGGTTATAGATTAATCTCAAAAAATATATTACATTTTAAGAGTTTAAAAAGATAATGAGAAAGAAAGATACTGAACAAAAAATTTATTTTATTTTAAAAATCAATGTTTTTTTTTTAAATTTACAATAAAAAAATATGTATAAAATAATAAAATTATATAGTTTTTTTCAAATGTGATTATAAGAAAATTAACAGGTCTTATTCAAAAATTCCTTATAAGGATGATCAAATATAAGTACAAACGTCCAGAAAGTAATACCAGTTTGCTCCTAGATGATGATAAGAGTAACAGTTATCAAGCAGGCAAGGTCCTCAGTCACATATATGCTTTGCTCAAAGTAATTTGTGTTGATCAAGTGCATTGTAGAGGAGTTGTGTCTTGTTAAAATGACAACAGAAATTAACAGTCCCAACAGCATAAAAAGTGCTTGCTGCTGCTGCTGTTGTTCAGTTTCTGAATACTGAAAATTTATTGTTGCATGTTTTCTAATGGTGTGTTGTCTGACATGGCATGTTGTTTAAGGGTTTGTGCTCCTCTACAATGATGCACATCTTAGCAAGCCACAAATTTGCTTCAACATTTCAAGTAGGATGTTCTGCATCATTCTGTCTACAGTCCAGACTTCATTCTCAGTAATGATCACCTCTTTGGAAGATTGAAGGCATTTCTGGATGGAAAATGATGAGTTGAAAGATGAAGTCATGCAATGGTTAAAGGTTTGGTGATGATGGCATTTGAAAATTGGTCATAAGATATGAGAAGTGGCAATGGTTATGTCAAAAAAATGGCAATGGTTATGTCAAAAAAATGACAAAATTCATATGTAATGTTATGGAAAAAAAATTTGAATAAGTAGATTTGTTTTGTGATTGTGGACAAATGGGATTACTTTCTGGACGATCCTCATAGAACTTGTGAGAAGAAATGTGAGGAGTTTGCCAATGTTACAAATGAGATGAGACTTCACATTGCTGCAAGCTGCAGCACAATGGCCAGCTCACAAGCAGTGCAAAGTTAAACTTTGCACTACAGCATTATTAAACTCTGATATTTCTTACAACTTTTATTTGGATCACCTGGTATTATGATAGGAAATGATATATCAGATTTACAGTAATTTAGGGTTAGATATTTGGTAGATTAAATACAGTTTTATTATATTTTACTTAAAATTTCTTTTTTATTTTACTTGGTAAACATTTTATCATTTCTTAAGAACAATAATCAAAATTCTTTATTGTATTTCATATTTTTTTTTTTTTTCCTAAATTTAATATTTCTAAACTAAATTTAGTATAAATTTTGATGGTTTGTCTAAAATAATTTTTTATAAAGCTTGAAGCATTAATTTAAGAAATAAATAGATTACAATAGACTTTCATTAATCTGGTCATTCATTGCACAGATGGTTGCCAGATTACCTATTGTATATAGGGCTAGAGGCAATGACATACAGTAATGTGTTACCCTTTCATACTGAATCTTTTTAGAGGTGGGGCAAATAATGCAGTGCACTGAAATGTCATGTAGTACACGAAAATGAAACCCAAGGAAAATAGGATGTGTGACATGACTAACATTTTCAGGAAAATGGAAGTGAATAGACAATTGCATTGGAGAGTATACCAGATTAGCAAGAGTCTACTGTATTAACTAGTTAAATTTGTGTTTCTTAAACACTATGTAGTGTAATTAATCGATTGCTTGGCATTCCTTCATATCTTTATTTCCAATTCAGTTGATACACACTTTGGGCTCAAATTGTCCCTCCTCAGTCAACTAAAAACAACCTTTTGTGAGCTATGTGTGTTTTTATAACTTTTTAGTTGACTGAGAAGGGGTAATTTGAGGTCAAAACGTGTATCCAAAAATGCATATCAACTGATTTGGAAATAAAGATATGAAGGAATGCCAAGTGATCGATTAATTACACTACATAGTGTTTAAGAAACACATAAGAATAACGACACGGTTTCAGATTAGCAAAATATATAAATATATAGTTAAATTATAAAATAAGTTTTTCTCTCATGATATAATGTAGTTAATCCTTAACTGAATTATTTTACTTGCCCTAATTTTGAGTGGATAACCCATGGGTTATTTATTTGAAATGTGTGGGTTATATGTCAATTTTAAATGCAGTCATGAGTTAGTTTATTCACACTACAATGTATGACTGTCAAGCAACTTGACTCAATGGACCAACAATTATCTATTTATACATTTGCAAGAAATGGTACTAAGTGTTTAATTAAGGTATATTCTCCACTGTTTTTGCAACCCAGATCTATTGAAATAGATTAGGGTTTATATTTAATTTTTTAATATATACTTGGAATTAAGATACAGATTAATTTTCAGTCTGATACAAAATACAAGAAAGAAAAGAGAATTAAATTTTTATACAATAATTATTTGATTAAAAAACTTTAAAAAATAATTTTAATTGATGATAACATTTTATTTAACTTTTTCCAACTATATTTTATTATTACAACTGGACAAAGGAAATTAATCACAAAATAAAAATACTAAATCATATTTAATTATGTTTTACACAATTGGGACAGTTCATTTAACTTGCAAATGAATTATGAATTTCATTATGATCAATGAGTGAATTTCTCTGTATTTCAAAGGGATTTCTCAGTAGTCACGTCCCTGTTAAGGCTAAGTATTGTATCATACACATGAGGCATCTTCAAATGTGCATTAGTAAAGACAAAACCTAAGCACATGCTTGTGTGTGTATCACTGTACTAAGTTATCATCTTGGCAAAGGCATGCTCGTATTAAAAGTTAAATAATGATTTAAATTTTATACAAATGCTAGTTTAATTAATGTAAAATAGATTTCTACATTAGAGTTTAAAAAGCAAAAGAAATAAGTAATGTAGTCTTTAGTTTTGATTTTGTTAATTATTATTTTGGATTAAATTGAATAATTAATATTAATAGTAAACCAAACTATAGTCCAGATAATCCAGAAATTAATATGATTATTATAGAATGTTTGGATTTGATTGTTCATGTATAGCTACACTGATTTGTTAACAGAAATGAAATGGCAAAGCAATATTTTAATGCTTGAGAAGGCAACTTCTGTGTACTGGTAATTAACTTGCTTTCAAAGACTGTCCTGGAGGCATGGGGATATACAGTAGGACGGGTTGTACAACAGCTTTATTTTTGCTCCTGCAGCTTTCTGTAGGTTATACATTGTCATGGTTATCCGCCCAAAATTACAGTAATCATCATATATGCAAAACTTAACATTTTTGATATATTTAAGCAAATGAACAAAAAATACCTAGTTTTATAATTTTACAACTAACACTAGTAATTTGTAATAATTAAACTTACTTTTTTCTTAATAGGATCTGTATTTATTTGTTTCCGAACACGAAGAATTTAATGAATTTAACAGTTCAGATTTATTAAAATGGTATCAGCCTGACTTAATATATGGTGATTGGTACGGTGGACCAGAAGGAAATGGAATTTATACAGTTGATGTAGACATTTTTGCAACTGAGGCAAGTAGGCTTAAATTAATTTTAATCTATGATATATAATTAAATTATCATTTTATTGTATAAATTTAGGAAACATATAATGATTCAAAATAATGCCTTAATTTTGTAACTGAATTCTGAGTTTTTATGTAATGTTTAACGTGTTTATTATGTGTTTCTTTAATGATAATTTAGATAAAATAATGATTTTATCAATATAATTTACTACTTTCAATACATCAATATTTGAGTTATTTAAACTCAAATATTGATTAACTTAATATAACTTAAATAGGTCAATTTGTTTAAATGTTAAATTCACTATATGCTGAACTTTAAAAATGACAAGAGAAATGTAAACATAAGGAAAATTGTAATTCAGTATTGTTATAAACAAAAATAATAGTAAATTGGCACTATTTATTTATTTTTTTTATACTTGTAGAATTTTGTTTTTCTCAGAGGAAAAATATCTATAGTGAATAAATAAGCTGTTTCAATAATGTAAATATGCAGTTACTTAAAACCAATCAACTGAATACTAAACTTTACCTTTGGCTGTTAATTTTTTACATTATACTTGAAAAAACTGCACTAAATTATAAAAATTAAAGAGAACATTTTAAGTATTGTATTTTATGACATAAAAGATGCAATTTTTGTTTAAAGAAAGACTCAAAAATATCACTGTCTTACATCTGAATCTTCCAAAGGTAAATGAATACCACAAATGGCCTTCATTAGACTACAAGTACCTCTTTGCCTACCCTAACTCATGAATTTAAATGTTATGAAACTTATTATTTTTTTATTTTTATTTTTAGAAACTGTTTTTGCATGTATTTATGTAGACTATTTTTAATTAATGATAAATTTTAACTGAAAAGGATTTCTTTACTACTACTATTTTTCTCTGAAAAGTGTATTTTAATTTTATTTTTCTTCGACAGAATATGGTAAAAGAAAAAAAATTGGGTCTGGGTGCCAAAGGCATAAATATACTAAATACTTTTTATCTAAATATTTTATGATGAAATGGGGTGTATCTTATATGCCATAAGATACAGAAAATGCAAAATTTTTGTTCATTTATTTGCTACTTTAAATAAATGCAGTCGCTATTTATTGTGCTATGTTCTGCTAAGAATTTATATTTTGTTCTAATATGTGTCGTATCATAAGTTACATAGACTACCTACAGAATAAGAACACAAAATATATGTTTTATAAAATATATTGATTTATCAAACATAAAATACAGAAACTTTTCAAAATGAAAGAGTGTTATAAGACAGAAGACCAACATATCCAGAAATTGCATAACCAATTCACAAGAAGAAAGAAAATGCAGTGATCCATCCCCTTGTAGTTAAGGTGCGTGTACTAGTTTAATGAGTGGACAAAGTGTTGGATGGTGGTAGATAGTAGCTTTGAGTTTAGTGTTTGTGTCATCTAGTCCAGCAGTTGCCAATTGGTGGTCCCACTAATGGTCCTTAAGAAAATTTTTGTTGTCCATAGAGAAATTTGGACATTTATTTGAATCTAAAACCAAACACGAAATGAATGTTATCAATAAATAATAATGTCAATAAATAATGTGAGTATGATTGTACTCTTTGTGGAAAAGAGCCAAGAAGTTATGAACTTATATCAAACAAGCAGCAACAAACTTCACACTAATTTGTTGTAATTAAACAAGTGAATTTATGATCATTATTCTATAGATGTTTGTATTGTTTAAAAAATTCATGGTAGTGCTCTACGGGATTCAAAATTGTGATTTTAATGGTCCTTGGGATCAGAAAGGTTGGTAACCAATGATCTACTCAATGATGGTGTGTGGTGTGTTTCCTAAGAAAATTAAATAGTTTGTTTTGGTACCTTTTATTTTGTTGTTTTTTTATTCTTGAAAAAAACCATTTATTCCTGTGCAGTTTTTATGTTAACAAGCATTAATTGCTTACTTAACTTGTCCTAGTTCTGATGAAACCCATGTGAGCAATATTTTTACCAAGCAACTATTATTGTCAGACTTCTGTAAAATTTAAGAAGTATAACAATCAAAGAACTAATATTTGTAGTAATCACATATATAGAAGAAACACTAAATTAAAAAATAAAAGTGTCTTCATATTTTGTTCTTATTGCACATTTGGGATCCAACAAGAGTTTGAGAGCTTTGGCAGAGTTGAAACAAGTGAGAACCTCAAGGAAAAGTTGGCTCTATCAAAGCCTTCATTAGACTATTGTTGGATCCCAAATGTGTAAAGGATGAAATATGAAAACATTCATTATCTAACTGTTTTTCTACATACATTGTTATGTACTGTCTTAATATTTACTTACATTTCCTTTATAACAGCCATATAGTATATTTTAGAGAAATTTGTGGTATTTTATGAAGATGTATTTGTAGTAACTAATACATAATTGTCTACTTTTAGCAGTTTTGTAGAAAGTTATCAAAAATTCCAAAATTATTATTTGAATATTTTTAAAAATCTTAAAAAGATATGTCATTTTCATAATTTATAATACATAAATTCTGCTTATTTATACTTTTTGTGCTTTTAAAACTTTTTATTTTGTTAAATCTCACTTTAATGTATAAAAATGGGCACTTGTTAATAACCCAGTTACAATTAATTCTAAATATTAATTGTAATTAAGCTCAACTGAACTCTACATAAAAATTCAATGTTTATTATTATAATTTTGGATAAAAACAATCAGTAATTATGAAATGCTTTATTTTAGTTAAAAAGAAATATTTTTACTGTTTTAACTAAACACAAAATTACTTTGTTACTTGAATTTTTCAAACTGATAATTACGTGCAAATAATTTTTTTTTAATTAACAGTTACTTTTAATTTTTTTTTGTAGAATGTAAAAAATAATGGGAGTCTTTGGATGCATTTATTCATTACTAAAAGTGGAAAGTCACCAAATCCTGCTGATAAAGGAAGATTTTCTAGGAAATATACCATCTATAAAAAGAAACGTAAGAACATGATTAATTTTTATTACAATTTACTTTGAATTAATATTTAAAAAATTCCGGAACAAGTTCTTTCCAAAATACGACAACTTTTCTGGCAACATTTGGTGGTGCCATCTATTATGATATTTTATTAAAAAGCCTTTTTATATTTTTAATTAATTATCATAAAATGGCAAAAAGCTTAATTTTGAGGCTAGTGATAGTTTTTATAAAAAATTGTAAATGCTTAAAATATAATCATTTAAGTCTGACCTATTGGAGATACACACAACCCCTTTTATTTCCCTATGCCCTTGACCTTTAATCACCAAACTTTAATAGCATCAATCCCTTAGTACACTGACCTCCCTAGCAAAATTTCAGAACTTTCTACCAAAAGCAGGAGTTATTAAGCTTCAAAGAGGGTGAACAAAATTGTGCCCCCATACACACAAACACTCGCTAACTGTTTGTTAGTATTTACAGAATTTATTTGGGTTAGAATATTGTGCAAGATATTATGTATTTTATAAAAGCCCTTATCATCAAAAAATTCTGAAATGACAATAAAATTAAAGCTTTAAATCTCTTTGCAAACTAATTTGTTTCATCCTACTTTTGGCTTAGATTCAGTATTCTTTTATATTTTATTCATTTATATAATGACTATCTAGTGAATGCATTATGTATAATTGTATAAATAAATACATACAGAAAAACCCTTAAATTTTTTTTGTTTCTCAACATTTCAAGGTGTCCTGAGTCTAAAAATGTAAACATTTTGGGAGGGTCATTTTTTCACCTATCACCATACATTTCCTCTGTTATGTATAACAGCCAGGAAAGTAAAAATTACAGAATAAAGAAGAAATAATTAGTTTTATATTTTATTACTTTTACTTACTGTATATTGTAATATTACTTTTTAATAGATTTTATAAGTATAAAATCTATTAAAAAAGTAATATTACAATATACAGTTTAAAATGAAGTAAGTTTCTAAAAATATATCGTTCTAGTTTTGAAAACTTTGCATTTACTTTTTTAGAAGATAAATATTATATTAAAAATGAAACCTGAATTCAGAATTACTAAAATACTTGTAATTAGAAGATACAATGAAAAAGATTTTCTAGAGTCTTCACAGTATTACTTATATATCATTCTGTGTTCTCATTTAATTATTTATGAAAAGATCTGTTTTAAACTGAACTATAACTAGAGAGACTTTTAACAATTTTACATACAGCTGTCCCTTGATAGTCCGATGTTTTGTAATCCGACATGCTCAGTAGTCCGATGCACCTCCCGTCAAGGTACCCATCCCCGTTACGTGTCTGTTGCACAGAAGCATTTTGCGACGTGAATCTCCCCACCCAATTCTTACACGATGACACACATTTCGTATGTTTTCTGTGAGCAGTTCTGTTTGAACAGTTGGAGTAGGGAATATTGTAGGCTACTGCTAGCAAAAAATGCCAAATATGTAATCACTTTCGGTAATCCGGATCCAGACACTTTTGGTAATTGGACACCCCTTTGGTCCCATAACTGTTGGATTATCAAGGGACAGCTGTACTTACGCAGAGAAAAACTTAATGAAGATCAACTTTTTAGTATTGTGTTAGGGTATGAAAGGAACAATGTGAAAACTTCAGAATATATTTTTAATCATTCTCTTTTAATTATAAGAAATAATAGTAACACTAGATTTTACTATGATTTGATACAGAAAATTTAGAGGAAATAAATAAATAAATTCTGAAATTTTGTTGATATTTCTAGACATTTGTATCAAAATACTTTTTTTTTTCCCCTGCAAATACTAATAAACAGTTTTACTGGAAAATATACAAACTATATATTTCTCAATACAACTGTTTGTTAGTATTTACAGAATTTATTTGGGTTAGAATATTGTGCAAAATGATATGTATTTTATGAAAGCCCTTATCATCAAAAAATTCTGAAATGACAATAAAATTAAAGCNTTATCCTTATCCTCTGAGCATTTTTCTGCATTATCTTCAGATTCATGCTTTACCTTTTGCAAAAAGTATGTAATTTTAGATTGCTTGCTTCTAGTTAAAAGATCTTTATTTATTTCCTTATATGGTGCTAAGCACTTATGGAATAAAGGTAAAACATCTGGCAACATCAGAAGCAGAAGCGTTGAGATCTGGCAAAATTGAAACAAGTTTCGAGAAGGACCATGTGTATGGACAAAAGGCGAGAAAAGAAAATTTACATACTGAAGTACTAACAGTAACACGAAAATTATTATTTTCGTGAACTATTAGTACTTAAATATGTAAAAATTTATTACATTTCATGTTGTACAAGGGTTTTACCCATTTCTCGAACCGTGTCAATCCGTGCTATAACAGTACTGTGTTATACGGGGATGGTACCAATTCTCGAACCGTGTTAGAGTGAATCCGTGCTATAGAAGTGCCGTGTTATACGGGGGATGGTACCAATTCTCGAACCGTGTTAGAGTGAATCCGTGCTATAGAAGTGCCGTGTTATACGGGGATTACCGGTATATAAATTAAGATGAATTAAAATTTATAAACCCCAAATTTTTATTTAAAACATGGAAAATTATTTTAGAATGTAACTGATGAAAAGGTAAAATTTCATGTTGTTTTTCTTTTTACTTTATTTATAATTTCATTTTCTGAGAAATTTACAGGATATATTTATTTTGATAGAAATTTTAAAAGCATTAAAGGTTATTTTTTATTGCAGAAAGCAGAAGACAGTACAGTAGAAATACTATCACATTGGCATCCAAATTTGACATTGAATATTATTGATGATCATACACCATGGGTTCAAGGACATGTTCCACCACCATTAGATGAATGTATGTTAATTACATTAGTTATTTTAACTAAAAATAATGGTTTTAAATAATATGATATATTCATCTATCTTCTGTTATTCAAAGAAAATCAATCTTCTATATAATTAAACTATTACTTCACATTATAATGATTTAATTATAAATTCTTTAACTTTCATTTGATTAAATAAACATTAATTTATAATTATTGCTCATAAACAATATTTTAGATGAAGTGAATGGAATTTAAATGTTTTAAACAGGTTTGAACAAGTTCAAGAAACTCCGCTATCATCGTACTCAAAATTTGTTGACCGGAGAGACTTCTGCTACTCCAGAAATGATTAAGGTAAATTATTTAAATGTTGTAAATGTTTTTGTAAATGTTGACAAGACTTGATTTTTCTATAAAAATGTTTTATAATATAAAATTTTTGAACAATACATATATCTATTTCACTGTGCTTTATATTCCTAATTCATCTTTCTGAAGCAAATTTTTATTGTGATTTAAAATAATATTTCAATCATAATTTAAGAATACTCTGTATCAACAAAACACATTTAAAACACCTTGTAAATGTGCAGCTGTATTTATTAAATTCAAACGTTTTCGGTTATATTTAATGACCTTTATCAAGAATAAACGGAAAAATTTGAACTTGTAAAAAATTTGCGTTAACGATAGATGCATTTTGGAACGTTTTTAAAAGATATTCTAATGAAATTACTTGCACCATCTCTACAACAGGCTAACATTAAATAAACACAATAAATATTAGCACGTTAAAAAATAATATGACGTTCAAGACAATAAAAAATATAAAATAAAAATGCAAACAAATAAAAAGCAAAAAACATAAAGAAATGAGTTGGGCAAATACATTAAACTAGAAAAATACTCTGTAATTTACATAATTTTTGTGGAGAAATAGATTTATGTTGAAATATCAATTTCATAAACAGACAGTATTTTCAGTATAGATTTTTTTTAAAGTACTGAATTGTTTAATGTAATTTTATTGGGTTTTATGAGATCTTTATGATTGAAATAAACAATATATTATTCATATTTCGTAATACTTTTTGTCCAATGGTACTTTTAATTTTTTGAAGAATTTGAAGACTCTTTTTGCCCAATTTGGGAACACCATTTATTAGTTTGCGTTTTAGACAATACGTTCCTGGCAACCAACCTCCCTTTCTAGGCTGCTAGCTGCCAAAACACTAAAGTCCTTTTAAAAACACAAAAATTTCCAATTAAAAATACAAAGATTTTCTTAAAATAGGAACTAGTCTTCTGTTGCCATTTATACCTTCTTAGGATGTTTCTGCTTTTTATCCATGAAGAAGTGAGTGCTGGAAAATGTAGATTAGAAAAGCTTTCCCTGGTGACAATACTTTACAATTATATTTCATAATTCTTTTCGTCAATAATATGTGTAATAGTAAATTAGAATGAAAAAGTTCTATAAAATATTCCATAGTAAAAGACACGCAAATAAATTATCTTCACAATTATACTTTATTATTACACCTCAAAAAACACATGCCACCACAGAATCTGTGGCATGTGTTCCCTGAGGTATAAATTCTTGATTTTTGTGCTCTTCTGTTAACATTTGGAAAATGCAATTTATTTATTATTTATACATATAATAAGTTTAAAAATTTTATTTACAGGTAACCCCCATATAACATGGTAGTTACGTTCCAAAAAATTGCCGTGTTATGCGAATCCATGTTATACGAAACAAAGAACTAGTACGAAAAGGAGGGTTAGGTTCCAAAAATTAAAAAACATGCTATATTTTCATAATTAAGATAAATATCTTTATTTAAAATTTTTAAGTGATACACATTAATATAAATTAAACAATGTTTTCTTCGTCATCACTAAAAACACTATTAATTAACCGAGAGCGTTTTCTTTTTGGCAAGTTATCCTTATCCTCTGAGCATTTTTCTGCATTATCTTCAGATCCATGCTTTACCTTTTGCAAAATGTATGTAATTTTAGATTGCTTGCTTCTAGTTAAAAGGTCTTTATAAATTTCCTTATATGGTGCTAAGCACTTATGAAGAATAAAGCAAGTATGGAATAAGGGAAAAACATTCGGCAACATCAGAAGCAGAAGCGTCGCGATCTGGCAACATTGAAACAAGTTTCGAGAAGGACCACGTGTATCGACAGAAGGCGAGAAGAGAAAATTTACATACTTAAGTACTAATAGTTCACGAAAATAATAATTTTCGTGAACTATTAGTACTTAAGTATGTAAAAATTTATTACATTTCATGTTGTACGAGGATTTTACCCAATTCTTGAACCATGTCAGAGTCAATCCGTGCTATAACAGTACTGTGTTATACGGGGATGGTACCAATTCTCGAACCGTGTTAGAGTGAATCCGTGCTATAGAAGTGCCGTGTTATACGGGGATTACCGGTATATAAATTAAGATGAATTAAAATTTATAAACCCCAAATTTTTATTTAAAACATGGAAAATTATTTTAGAATGTAACTGATGAAAAGGTAAAATTTCATGTTGTTTTTCTTTTTACTTTATTTATAATTTCATTTTCTGAGAAATTTACAGGATATATTTATTTTGATAGAAATTTTAAAAGCATTAAAGGTTATTTTTTATTGCAGAAAGCAGAAGACAGTACAGTAGAAATACTATCACATTGGCATCCAAATTTGACATTGAATATTATTGATGATCATACACCATGGGTTCAAGGACATGTTCCACCACCATTAGATGAATGTATGTTAATTACATTAGTTATTTTAACTAAAAATAATGGTTTTAAATAATATGATATATTCATCTATCTTCTGTTATTCAAAGAAAATCAGTTTTTTTTTAATTTTAAAGAAATACTTAATTTTAAATAAATTAACAATAAAGATTAATAATATATTTTATTTGAACAATGTTATTTATTTTAATGCAACAGTGATGGGTTATGTATGTCTGTGTATACAGGATGTCCCAAAAGTCTCCATACATCGACACAAATCAAGCTCACCAAATGGCCAACAAAGTGGCCAAATAAATAAAACCATTGAACACTGGTAGTTGGTCATTGGTTTGTACCTGACCAATGGGCTGGCCACCATGCAGTGTTCAAAGTTTTCTTCATGTGTCTAACATCTAAACAGAATCTAGTCTCCACATAGGAAGTCCTACTAGAAGTTACCCCATCGGCAAATCACCCATGTGTTCTGTTGCCTTATTCCGTCAATCTGCTGACACAAATCTTAATGCTGACATTTTAATGTTTTGTGAATAAAGTTATATTTCACCTTTGTATGTATGGAAACTTTTGGGACATCTTGTATAGGGTGATGCAAAGTTGGCTAACTGAGGAATACTTCAAGATTATTTTAAGAATGATTAAAACCTATACACAGCCCAACAATATACAGCTGTAAAAGTTCATCCGATGGAGAATTATTTCTAATAAAACTGTAGACAAAACTGTCCAAAAAGGATCACCATTTATTATTTTTTGTGTTCCAAGACTAACACATTTTCGGAACTGACCTTTCTTTTTAGGCTACTTGTCGCTGGAAGCCTAAAAAGAAAGGTTTGCTTCATTGAGTAACTGAATCACAAACAACAATATAAAGCTGTTGTAAACAGCTGTATATTATTGTTTGTGATTCAGTTACTCAATGAAGCAAATAAATTGCAATAATAATCACAGTATTGAATAATATGCAACTACATTCCAAACATGCTTAAACTATTTTTAAAATATAGAAAGAAGGTTAATTTAGACTACCCTTAATCAGTACTTTCCCCGGGAAAAGGTTTTAAATAGTCAGCCTGTTATATTAGCTGACTGCTATTACAAATATCCTTACAAACTTCAGTTAATGACTACAAAAACAACAATCATTTTATAATAGTTAATATTGTTCAGTTATATCTTTAAAAATAATTATTAATAAAATATATATTTTTTAATTTTAATAATTTTAAACTGGCCAGAGGAATTTAGTTGGCCCAATCAACCCGGTAAAACCAACTTGCAGATAACACTGCTCTATATAGATACTTTTCATCACAAGATGACAGGATGGTGCAAAATAATCTACTGATGTACAGTAGAGTGTCATTTATCTGAATCAATTGGGGACTGGGGTTGTTTGGATAACTTATTTTTCAGATAACTGATTATTTATGAAAAAATATATTAACGTATCCCATGTTGAAATTTTTCTCCATTGCATGTCGCTTTGCGTTGAATTTTCATCAATGTTAAGCCTAACATAAATTTTTATAATAATAATTGTGGCTATTGTATCGTTAAAAATTATTTTTTTATTTTGTACAAACAAAATAAATATATTGAAAAATATAAAAACTAAAGAAAATTATATTTTAGAAGTTAATCTAGTATCAAAAACATTTGATTCAGCAGGACACACAGTCCTCAGAAAAACACCACACAAAAGTGCCAGTGCTGCCAGCTAACACACACACACACACCAACAAAAAAAAAAATTGGAGTAGCCCAAGATATAGCCAAAGGTTGCAGTGCCACAGCACTAGCGGAAATTTAAATTTGCTGACTAGAACGCTTTTGGTTGACCGGCTTTCGGATAAATGATGCTCTACTGTAATATAAATATTGTATATTATTCTGTTAAAATTTTAAAAAAGGAAATATAAATAGAAAACCATTAATTTAAATTTTCATTTTTTTATTCTAGTTAAAATTTATAAATGAAGTTTGTATTTCTAGATATTGAATTTGAACCTATAACTGGTAAATATTATCCTGTTGTATATGTGAATGATTATTGGAATTTGATGAGAGATTATCAACCAATAAATGAAACAACAGAGTGAGTATAATTTTTTTGTTTTATATATTTTAATTTATAGTTATTAGTGAAAACAGGGCTAAACAAAAAGCAAATTCTATTTAAAACTTCTTTTTCAATTTAATAAATACTATCACAGTTAATATTATTGATAAAAAAAAATGTGATGTATTCAGCACAGGTAATAGAGCCTAGTTTTGCTTTAATATCAAAACTAGGTGTCAGACTGTGCAAAAGAAACATTAATATTACTAGTGACTTTTTAAAACAATTGTTTTAAAGACTGGTTTATTTATACAGAATTAATTTACATGTCATTAATATTTATCATTCAAATGTTTTGAAATGAAAGCTAATAAAACAATATAAAACTGTATTGTAAAATTTATTGAAATGTTTGAATGTGCAGGTGACCCAAAAGTCGGTTAACCGTTTTAAAGTTGTGTCGTCACTAGGACCAGCTTTGCATTTTTTGCTGCCTTTATGCAGATACTTGCTTTTGTTAGTGTTTGCCATCTATTTGTCATGTGGCAAAAATACAAAATGAAATACTGTTGTTCATTTTTGTAGAATTGAAGTCCTGGGAATAGATATAGCGATAGAGAGTAACTTCGACCCTCTTTGGTTCAAACTTTGCTCCTAAAATACTGTTCTCATGGTAATCCCTTTTCACTACATCAATGCCGCCATGCAAATCTCCCACACTTGATATACCAGAAGTCCTAGAAAGCAATATTCAGCCATTCCAAACTGGTTTTATGACGATTACTAAAATGGTTAACAAAAAATATTTTATAATTGTTTTAAACCAAGTTTTTTGTTACCCCGTATATTATAAACTTCCATAAATAAAGTATTACTATTTTTATCTACTAGATATCTTCCACTTCATGTTATTTACCAGCCGCTCTCCTTATTCCGCTGGCAATTGTACACAGCTCAGGCGATGCGATCTCGTTGGACGTCGTTCCTGGGGCAGGATCTAATGGAAGAATCAGAAGAAGAACAAGATTCCATGAAAGAAGCATTCCTCGAAACCTCACCTTACTTGTTGGGCCTTACTTTTGTAGTTTCTCTTCTTCATAGCGTGTTTGAATTCCTAGCTTTTAAAAACGGTAATTGCATCACAGTTTTCTGTTCTAATTACATCTAAGTTTTATATTATGGTTACAACAGTTACTTGTCTTTCAGATATTCAATTCTGGAATAACAGAAAATCACTGGAGGGTTTGTCCGTCAGATCGGTGTTCTTCAACGTGTTTCAGTCCGTCGTGGTGTTGCTCTACGTTCTCGACAATGACACAAATATGATGGTCAGGATATCCGTATTTGTCGGACTACTCATCGAGATCTGGAAGATACACAAAGTGTTAAATATAGAGATCAAGAGAGAACAGAGAATCTTTGGTATAATTCCTAAGATTACATTCTCTGACAAAGGATCATATGTCGAATCTTCCACAAAAGTTTATGATCTGGTTCGTAAATATATATAGTTTTTATAAACGTAATTATAAGTTTTAAGCATACGATAAACACGTAAACGTTTGTTCGAAACAGATGGCATTCCGTTATCTATCATTGGTGTTGTTTCCTTTACTGGGTTGTTACGCCATATATTCCTTATTATATCTCGAACATAAAGGGTGGTATTCATGGGTGTTGGGTATGCTTTACGGTTTTCTACTTACATTCGGTAAGTAATTGTTTTTATTTGCATTCTTTGACAAATTAAGCCATAAAGTTCACAATAAATTTTTTTTGTAGGTTTTATCATGATGACTCCTCAGTTATTTATTAACTATAAACTTAAATCTGTCGCACATCTTCCGTGGCGTATGCTAACATACAAATTTCTTAACACTTTCATCGACGACATCTTTGCTTTCGTTATCAAAATGCCAACCATGTACCGCCTGGGCTGTTTCAGAGACGGTGAGTCTTTTAAAAGTGCACTTTGTTTTCTGTAACGCTAACACGAAAGCTAAAACATTCATTTATTTCATAAACAGATATCGTGTTCTGCATCTTCCTGTATCAACGTTGGATCTATCAGGTGGATCCAAAGAGAATTAACGAATTCGGAACGAGCGCAGAAATGGAAACGCAGCACAAAGAGAATTCCGCCGCCAACGGGGTGGTGCCGGCAGAACTGGAGGCGAGCGTGGAGAGCAAGAAGGATCAATAGAGGAAGCAATAGTCCATTTCTCTCACATTTTTCTGCCATTTTTCAATGGTAATAAATGTAAATCATCGAGGCAGGCATTCGACCAGGTTGGTGTCTCCTATGTGAAAACAGTAAAGATGCATATCAGATACCAACGTGTTTTGTTTCTCTCTCCTTTTTTTTTTTTGTTTTTTTTTCATGTTGTCAAAATTTTATTTTTAAATCGATTGTAACTTGGCTACGTTATTTTAGCTAGTCATTAAAAAACAAATGTCACAGATTGTGTGCTAAATTTTGACAAGCTTTAGTGTGACAATAAAATGATTGAAATATTTTTGTGAATTGGTTGAGTTCGTTTTTAAAAAAACAAAGAAAATATTTTTTACAAAAATTAATTAGAATTTGTTGTAAAAGATATAATTGGACGAAATTATTTATATATTCATTTTATTTGGGGATGTTTGTTTGACTCGTGTATTTGGACTTCTCCCCCTCACATTAACACGAAGTTATAGCTAGTGCCGTGACTATAGTAAGAGGCAGAGCGGAACTTCTTAAGTAAATATGCTGATGTGTTTAATGAAACTAGAACAGAATTTCGTTTCTCTCAAGAATGAAACAGTAAGAAATCGCAGATTGAACAATTGAATCAGATTTCATACTTTTCAAGTATTCTTTCAACTTCCGAACGTTAAATTGTCAGGAAATCCGACAAAATTACACAATATAAATTGTTTAGCAGTTGTTAAGAGCAGAGAAATAAATAACAACATTGAAAATAGTAGATGAATATCAAAATCGGGCCGTTTTAAGGAAGTTTGATAGTATTACTGTATATGGAATACATTTTGTGTTCGATGCTTCTATGATTTTGTTTGATCCATAATGCTGCAACTGGACGACAGACAAATATTTTATTTACAAAATCCCAACCTTGATGATAAACCAAAATTCTATCGATAGAAAAATCAATTACCCTGTCATTACGTTGAAATTATAAATAGGATCAGATCCAGATAGAGGAGTCCAACAAAATACTTGTCTCGGTAATCGGAAGCTTCTAGAATTTAGTCTTTTCATGTAAAAAACAAAAATTCTCCTTTGAAATGTGTTAAAATTATTTGGATGATTTTGTTCGTACACTCAGATGTCGATATAGCGTCCTAAATAACGCCATTATTGTGAAATTCCAATGAGTACTTTGCGAACGGATCTTTCTCATTAATAATAAAGAACCTTCAATATCTGTTAATTACTAATTTATGAATTTGCATTGCAAACAATTGGTTTTCGAATCCAAATCTCCAGATTACTCCCCTTATTCGAGATGCTCGTTTAGTGCCAGTTTCGTAGACGAACAAACAATGGCGCTAAATCGAGGTTTGTGTCTTTCGGAGAAGGTCTACAAAGGCCATCTTCGTTTTAGCCGCTTAATGGGATAACAAGTTAACAATGGATGCGCATAGAAATATTTTAAGCGTATGAAAACTGAAATGCCCCAATTCAACCGCCATTTAACGAATAAATTTCATGATGAATGATGATTACTCCATTATTATAAACTTTAAACCGTGACTAAGACGGTTCGGACGAGCAACTGAATTTTTCACAGGTGATCCGTCCCAGATACTTCAGGCACCGTTGCTCATTACAGGCCTGGCCCAATCTACGATGGGCGTGGAAAAAAGGCCCTCGTGAGTCACACAGGGCAGAGCTTTAAATCAAATACGAACGAATACTTGTCTACTTGAATAAATTAACAAAGAAATATTTTAAATAATTGACGATAATAGAGGAAACAATTACCGACTGCACTACAATAAAATTAATAAATAAAAGTTTCATTATGGAGACAAAGCGGATTGGGAAATTTTGGCTTTTGGTAATCATGATGATCGGTTCTTCATATTTCGTAGAAGCTAACTGGTTTTGCGGTAACTACTTAACCATTATTCGTAGCCATTTTTGTACAATACTTTGAGGTTTGACAATGTTGTTAACGTTCTGACAGACGAATACGAAAAAAAATCCTGCAGAAGTCCTCGTTGCGGACCATCGGATTGTGACGCCTGCTTCAAGAAAGGTACTGTACTTTTTGTACGTTCTTCGAAGTTTTGACGATGTATGGTGTTCAAACACGAGCTTATCGATTTTAAATCCTTAGTCTGGTGGCAAATTAAAGAATTATCTATAACAACGTGGCAAAATTGCCAAGTAATATCGTCACGCGTGCAGTCGTACGTCCAACAGCAAATCGAATGGATGTGTCCTCTCGTAAAGGTTTACGCTCAGAAATCTTGGTACGTCTTGCGAGTGTACCTTTACAGATTTCTATGTTACTTGGAAAAGTTGATATCGGAATGGATACGTTATTTAGAAAAGGAAATCGACTGCAAAACTCGCAAAACAGAGGAGAGCCATTTTAACATCGAAAGAATCAAACCTTTCTTAATTTATTCACTATTGCTGCTGCCATTAATTTTATTTTATTTTCTTAAACTGGTAAGGTTATTTAATTAAATTATTATTAATCCGATGCATTTTTAAATGGCTATTTTTGTGTAGACAATTTACAACGTAATCGAAAATTACGCAGCATTTTGCATCCAGAGGAGTCTAGGTAATGTATTCTAGAATTTCAATTGCTCTCATTGGGTTGCAATTTTTCAAATTACCTGTTGTCTGTCCGTCCGCCCGCACTTCGTTTATCTCGAGTTTTAGATAATTAAAATCGAGATCAGATATGGAAAGCCGAGGGGTCGGAGGCCCAATTAACTATATAAGAACTTCCAGTCTGGCCCGGAAGTAATGTGATTTTTAATTAAATGAGGATTAAAAATTGCAGCCCGGAATTGTGATGATGTCACAAACGTTAATTGTTTATTTTAAAGTTTTTCCTCCAGTTTCGGTTCCGGAAATGCAATTATTCCGTGAAGAGGATGATGATGAGCAGGAAATTACTGAAGATAATTGGAACGACTGAATTTTAATTAAGAAATATTGATTTTATGATAATTATAATATTCAAAAAATTACAAATTAATTATTGTTTAACACAAAATTAATACGCAATTTCAATTTGTGAAAATTCTTTTAATGAATAATTAAATCGGCTTTAATTACATTTTAATTGAGTTTATTACATCATATCCAAAACTAATTAAAGAATTAATTTAATACACAATTTTCTACATATACAAATAATAAATTAGCAGGGAAGAAAAAATTAATGGTGAATATTTTTACAGTTTTATACACTTACATTTTCACATTATAAATTTTTTTAATGAACAAATCATTATATACAAATTGCTAAACTCCAGTTTGTGTAGTTAATATTTCTTCGATAATTTGAATAAAGGAATGTAAATTATCACAATTAAGAATAGAAACTCCATTCAAAACTTCTGGATAAAATTTCACTTTTTAACTAAATTTCAATTTATAAAGGTGCTGATCCAATCTGAGGAGATCCCGGTTCCAGGAGAGCCTTCCTGCGAGCCGCTTCTCTGGATACATTCTGGTGAACTCTGTTCAATCGTTCCTTAAAACAAAGCAAAATGTTGAAATTTGCAGTTAAAATCATTAACAACTGAATATTTCTGTGATACATATCATGCAGAACATGGGATGATTTGTCTGTTGTGGAGTCATCATTACTGTTTAAGGTTATACTTCCTAGAGACAGCAAAGACACGTCTAAGCAGATGGTAGATGATATTCAAATATATACTCTATCAATTGACATGCAGTACATTTCATACTTCTCGGATAATTAATACCATTTTAAATTACCATAATTGTATTATTTTTCTTTTTGGAAAATCCCATAAAAATAAAGTACAATTGATCCAAATATTCTAGAAAGATGAAATATTTCAAACTATTAACTTCTTTCACTTTTTCCATAGATCAAGAGTATAAACAATACCTTGCATATTAACTAAATCCAATTGAGTTAGATTAATATGCAAGGTATCTGTAAACTACAGCTGCATGGTCAACATAAATTTTCAACATTATATATAGACTTAGTTATGCACAGTGAAATGAAGCAGCAATTCAAACTACTGTATAGTAAAAAATCATTATGGTCCAGATTGTTTCCAAACTGTCATTATATGAGGGCTGTTTCTTTTTTAACCTCTGATAATCCATAAAACAAAGACAAGTAACAAAATGAATTTATTACCATAAGTTAGGTATAAACATGGTTACTTTTTGACATAGACAAATGCCTCAATCTTCACAGTGATTATCTATGAAAGAGCTTTGAAATCGCCTCTTCATAAAATGTTGCCACCAGTGACTTGAGATGGGCCTTAACATTTTGAAGATCGTCACTAGTTGCAAACCTCTGCCTTCCTAGCCACGTTTTCAGTTCTGGAAAGAAGTGGAAGTTTTCACCACCTTTAAACACCCAGCATATAGCCCCGATTTAGCACCAAACAACTTCCACCTCTTTCCTGAACAGAAAAAGTGGCTAGGAGGGCAGAGGTTCGAGACTAATGATGATCTTCAAAACGTTAGGGCACATCTCAAGTCATTGGCGACAACATTCTAAGAGGAGGGGATGGAAAAGCTCGTCCACAGACATGACAAAGGCCTCAATCTTCACAGTGATTATGTCAAAAAGTTTACATGTACCTAACTTTTGGTAATAAATTCATTTTGTTATTTACACTTGTCTTTGTTTTATGGACCATCAGAGGTTGAAAAAAAAAACAGCCTGCATAGATAAGCATTGGGTGCTTTCCTGATCACTAAACTGTCATTTTACAAAGCTGCTTAAGCTTTGCCAAATGACAGTTCAGTGTGTGTTCATATGTGAGTGAGTGAGGAAGAGTGAACGTGAGCATGTGTGTAAGGGTGGGACTACACAAATGTGCACAAGCAAATTTTTTGAGCTATGTGCCAGCAAGAGGTGATGACATGGCATAGAGATGACAATGTCACACATTCATGCTGAACTTGTCATGGAGAAGCCATTTGACTTCATTTTGGCATTAAAATGTTTTGATTCTTATGATCAGGAAGACATTTTTCCCGTTTTCAGGCGAGAATAAATAGTATTAATACATTTTTCTTTTATAGAGTTCTCGTGTCCTGTTTGCCGAAAGAAGACATTTTCTACTCCTGTGCCAAGGTGCACACATGGTAATCAAAGAGAAAAGGCAAGCTGCTATAAATATCAAACTCTGCCAGAAATTTGCTATTGCCAGGAATACTTCTCGTTTCTCACTTGTTCGTACTTTTCCTTTGTGAGAATTATACCGTTCACAACCTCTCACTTGATACTAAGTATGCATCTGCATAGTTGCACCCTGACTCTGCTTTAAGTTGGCCTTTGCAGCATTCATGTAGCAAGGTTTGGAAATGTTGACAATAAAATTTAAGACAGCTACCACAAACAATATTTGCATAATTTGTTAGACCGGGAAATAGATATTGTTGGTCACCTCCAAAGTTATATCTTTTATAGCATTGACATCAATTCTACATCATCTCCCATTAAGAGTTTTGGTTTATATCAAAATGACATTTACAAACAGCAATACAACTGTAGAACTATTTCTTCCAAAAGGAGAAATTGCTTAAAGCAAGTTTCAAGTATCTTTACTATGCAATGCATACATTTGTTAAAATTTAAAATGTTCCAAATAATTTGATGCAGCCAGCCTGTGTCAATTTATATCTGGTACGATTCACATGCACAATAGACGACAAATTATTTTATTACTGTAGTAAAGTTCGTGTAATGTTATTGGGCTTATTAATTCCTAATCGATTTTACTGATATAATCTCTACTCAAACTGCACTTTCAAAAATAACTACACTTTACCAACGTTTAACATGCAGTCTATTTTATTAATGTAATCTAACGTTTTTGGTCAATTAATTGACCTTCATCAGGATCGAACAATTTTTCAATTTATGACGAACGAAACTGATTGTAGAACGTTTTTAACTTTTTTAGATTACATTAATAAAATAGACTGCACATTAAAGGTTGATAATGTACAGGTATAATCAAAAAATTACTGTTTACTGGTAAAAAACAAACAGTAATAATGATATTAATGGAGAAAATAATAGAAAAACTAATAATAATAATAATAATCTAATATATAAAGAAGACAATTTGTGGGTTTGTTCTTTACATTTGCTCAAACTGTGTCAAAACATATAATGAAATTTTTCAGGGATCATCCTCCAATCCGAGGAGGTCGTCAAAAGCCCTGTCCGCAACAGTCACCCCGCTATGTCATCTGACCAGCAAGACGGTTCCATTCAAATAGGAAAATACATTATTGGTAAGCATTAAATATTTAATTACCTGAGCATTTTGAAGGATATTGTTGACTAACATAACTCTCCTTTTAGCATTCATTAATTTCTTAACATATGCATCCAGGTCAAAAGGCATTTGTTGGCTCTCCGAGATTTTTCTCAAGTCTGTCAACAAGCAAGAAAAATGCAATTGCAAAAACATAATAATAATTATTATTATTATTAAGTAAATTTACCTTCGGCTAAGCTGTCTATCTGTTGCTTCAATTCTAATTGAGTGATTCTATTATAAACAAAAGAAAAACCTTTCAAAATAAAACATCATCAATTAAAAGAAATGGTAGACGTAACCTTTAGGTAATTAATACATAGAATATTGACATGAAGATGGCCTAAAAGTAACTTCTACCGAAGAATGACAGACAGAGTACGAGTGTATTTTACCTTGTTGATTTCACTCTATCATCTAATTGTTCGACGGCAGGTCTTAACAAACCCATTAAACCATCCGCTAAAGCTTCTCTAGTCGGAGAATCCCCGAAATCGTCAGTTTTATCGTCGATCGAAGTAGTTGTGCTTTCAGTATCCTCCATCTTGATCGTTATTACAGTGTTGCCAGTCGATAGTAGAAAGGGAAGAAAAATCAGGAAAATGGCACTTTTGCCAACCTTTCTTTATATGAATTACTGTATCACTTTTTCCTTTTTAGTTAAAATTCCTCTTTTTCTAATATTTCTGTACGAATATTCTAATAATTTTATCATTAAAATACCGTCACTCAGCACTTTTTTGAAATTCTTTCCGCCCTGTGGGCCATGGCCGGATTATCGCATAACAAATGAGATAAATGTCTAGGGCCCGGTCAAACTGTCTTTTTGAAAATATTTGTAAATAAGATAGTTTACTTTTCTGTTGCACAACTGTATAATACTGGTAACTCTGGTAAAATAATATATTATTTAAATATTAACCAAAAAGGTTAAATTAAACAAGTAAAACGGAAAAACCGTATTTGGGATACGACTATGTCTCGGAATCACTTTGACGCTCAAGGCGGGTCTCGTTCTCATTCTCCAATCTTCTTTGGTACCGCTGCTTTTGGGCGCGATCGTTCAAACTTCGCCGGCTACGACCACGAGGTCACCCACGATGCATTTTCGATGAAATTAACCTATCCAATTTCGAAATTTCTCTCCGTTGCGTGTCGGCCCGGGTTGAATTTTTGTCGATGCCTAACAAAAATTTCCCGTTTTTGAAAAAAAAATATTCGTGGCTATTGTATCGTCCGAAATTATTTTTTTATTTTGCACAAACAATATACAGTTTAGCCCGATTATAACGTCATACGACAACCCTAATATAACGTCAAATTTTTATCGGTTCCATGATTTTACTATACTAGATAATAGCGAGGTTGCGGCCGAAGTTTTCAACGCGAAAACGTGAACGTCCGACGTTCATGTTTTCGCGTTGAAAACTTCGGCCGCAACCTCACTAATGTAAAACCTACTTGTAATGACATAAAACCCTGTTTTAATGTTATATTTGAAGCACTCCCAAATTTACAAAATTGTTACGATATGTACTGGTGGCGACACACAGAGGCCAACAAAAGTGATCAGTTGTCTGTCATACAGCCCATCACGAGTGTCTCCTCTTTAGTAGTAATAAATAATAATTTAAGTTTTGTCAGTCTTGTGTATTATACAACATATAATATAACATGGTGTCAGAATTATAGTCGAACTATTGACACCATTCTGACACCATTTCCTACTAGCAGCAGCTCGAAATAATGAGTTCACCGGTCAGTAACGCAGGTCAGCCATCTTTAACTTTATCCCGTTTAAGTGGTCAACAGGAACTATCGGCAATCCAGTTCCATCGTTATTATTAGAAGGAAATTTAGCTCATAACTGGTCAATCTGGTATCAGAAATTTAAAATATTTTTGCGCGCTAGTAATTTAGAAAGTGAAACTGATTCCTGTAAAGTCGCCATATTTTTACGTTTTGTGGGAGAAGATGCGTTACAGGTTTTCAATTCCTTTAACTTGGATATGGACAATTGTCAATATTTGGATGTAGTAAAAAAATTTGAGTCTCATTGCAAACCTAAAACTAATCTCACGATTGAGAGATATAATTTTTTTGACCAGAAGACAAAAACCAGACGAGTCAATCGAAGACTTCGTAACTGCACTTAAGAACCTAAGCCTAACATGTGAGTTCGATAGTCTCCGAGAGAGTTTGGTCCGAGACATGTTTATTGTAGGTTTGTCGTCAAATAATAAAGTCATCAGAGCTAGGCTACTTCAGGAAGAAGGCTTAACCTTAACGAAGGCCATCAGCATAGCCAAAAGCATCGAAATTACTCATCGTCAGGCGGAGCAGATTGAAAAGAACAGTGATGCACATTGCACAGATACTCAAAGTCGAAAAGTTCAATCACAACAGCACTCGTCGTGGAAATCTACAAAATAAAGCAACAAGTAGCGGAAGGAGGACAGTCTTAGGTGGTCATCGAGAGTCGTTATCGTCAAAATTCTCAAGGTTTCGTCAAACAGGTCAGGACAATCAATTATTATGTATGCGTTGTGGACAGGTACACCGAAATAAATGTCCGGCTATTAATGCTGTCTGCAAGCTTTGTAACAAAGTAGGTCATTATGCGAAATGTTGTCGTACTAGACAAGTAAAATATGTTAATGTTAGTGATGATCGCGACCATGATAGTAATAAGTCGGATCTCTTTGTCATTAGATCTATTAATAGTAATAACAATTGGTTAAGTGAGCCGTGGATCCTAAAACTTAAGATTAATAACAAAGTGTTAGAATGTAATTTGGATACGGGTGCTCAGGCTAATGTAATGTCAATAAGAAATTATAAAAGTTTAAAAATTGCTAGAAAAATACAACCTACGGCTGTAAGGCTTACGTCATTCTCAGGAAATGATATACCAGTTTTGGGAGTGGTGTTAGTCAATGGTGTAATCAATGATAATTTGTCAGCTAGTATTCATTTTGTAATTACTAATACTGATAGTCAGACCATTATAGGGCTACCTACAATCCAAAGACTAGGTTTAGTCAAAAGAGTATTTAATATCAATAATCATGAGTCAGTCCTGTCGCAGTATAAAGATGTATTTGAGGGTCTTGGTTGTCTACCAGGAGAATATGAAATATCCGTTTACAAAGATATAGTACCAGTGATAGAACCGCCTAGGAAAATACCGTTTATGTTAAACGAAAGGTTTAAAAAAGAACTGGAACGTATGCAGTCTTTAGATGTTATAGCAAAAGTAAGTGAGCCTACCGAATGGGTAAATTCAGTTGTTATTGTTGAAAAGAAAGATAAGTCATTGCGAGTCTGTCTAGATCCAAGAAATCTGAATAGAGCAATAAAGAGGTGTCATTATCCATTACCAACTGTAGAAGAACTGAGGTCAAAATTAGCTGGTGCTAAGTATTTTTCAACTTTAGATGCACNAAAAGGAAACAGTGGGGACGCACGTTCTAACCTAACCTAACCTATTCTAATAATATAATTGGTAATAATTATGATAATTTATCAGAATAGGTTAGGTTAGAACGTGCGTCCCCACTGTTTCCTTTCTTGTCTTTGCTGGAATCGGCGATGAGCCGCCATGACAGTCTACGTATCTGGACTTTAACCAAAATAACAAAATAACATGGTTTTTTTTTACTCACCTTTGTCCGCACTCATTCGCCGACTCTGGTGCGCATCTTCCTGTTGCTCGCCTCGCCGCTTGCTTGGTTCTTCGGCGTCGCTTCCGGGGCTGCCAGAACGATTTCTGGCTCCTTCCATTCGGGCTCGCGTCCCGCTCCTGGATACATTTTTCTTAAATGTCCATAGAAAATTGCGAAACGTTCGCCCGGCTTGAGACTGTCCCATTTCATATGCTTTTTGTACATAAAAGCGTAGAGATACGAATCGCCAAGTTCCTCAGTATAGTGACGGGGCAGATTTTTTCTGTTCTTCAAAATCCCCCACAGCCTTTCGATGTTTTGCGTATGCACGCCGTCCAACGGATTCACAAAGTTTTTGGAATGATTTACTGTCGCGTGTTTTATATCTATTCCTTCTAATTCTCAGATGTTGTTGTATCCCTTCCATTGGTCGGTATGAACCGTAGATCCGGACTGTACGAAATTCCTAACGACCCAATTTAGACTGGCTTCGGAGCGATCGTTTACAAAACACAAAAAACAGTTCTTGTCTTCCGCCGACCACCCACTTTGTCCCTTTCAACTTTCTTCCTCTTTCGTATTTACGCTTGCTTGCGACCGTCTCGTCTATTTCCACGGTCTTTCCAGGACCGCCAATTTTCAAACTTGTCAAATTAAAAAGAGCGACCATCATCGCGTGCCGAACGAAATTAGCCCAGTCGACACCGGTAGTGCGACTCACCGTGACGGCCAAACACGACGAATTCAACGAGACATCTATGCAAATCAGATGCCAGAGGAAACTGAAGATTGTCCGCCATGACATGTTGCCGCATTTTCCCTTGAAGGTGCTTTCGAACGCCGAACTATTTACCTTGCACTTGGAACATCGGAAATAAACCGAACCGGTGTCTTTTCTGTAACTTATTTTACGAACGCCGCCGTCGCACTTGTTACACTTCGCTTCTACCGGTTGCAAACCAATCTTAATCGCGAATTTTATATCGGAAGGTATCCTATTGTCGATACCCAACTCGGGATAATCAGAATCCAAACGACGAAATAAATCCGTGGACGTCACAATGTCTAAATCCTCCATCTCTGCGAAAAAGCCAAAAAACAGAAAACGAAACCACCAACCCGTCGAAAATTTGAAACAACCGCACTCAGAACACGCGCAGGCGCTTGCGTCGTCAC